TTCTATATCTACTGTGAACCAAGTTCCTGTAACAACAATTAAATCTGGACTTAATTTGTCTACCATCAAACTTAGCTCGGACGTTTTTTTCTAAGACTACGGGCGTTCGTGTAGCACACTGTAAGATTCACCGTTTAGCGCAACACACGCCTAGGTACATGTTTCTAAGTTACGTTTGATAGATTTTTGTTCTTTTTTTAAAGAGAAAGCATAAATCTTTGTGCACTTAAATATGATATAGTGAGTACGTTTTGAATGGTTGCCATACTCAGTTACATAAGCTTCATTGTCTGCGAAGCCACGCTTTAAAATTTTTAGAACATTTGTGAATTTTGAGATTATCAAATGTTGCTTTGAACAATGGCGTTGTATCTATCTCTTGATACGAATTGAGAGCTACAGTCAGATATTTTTCCAGTATCTCCTGTTTCCAAGTGTATATTTTTCATAAGTAATGCATAGCGTGGCATTCAATGTTCGTGTAGTCCGATCCAGTGCAGATAAGTTGGGGAACTTTGGCATGGCTCTCAGTTACTCAGTTTGGTCTCGAGTAAAATATGACTGTCATGATTACTACTCTCCATTGGAGTACTAGACGCGGACGTCCCCCACTATGAGCTTATCATTTGTTAAAAATTACGCTTTTTCATAATATTATCCTTTTATTCCCTTTCGTTATAACTCTCACACGTCCAGACATCCCTAGACTTATGATGGCTGTGACAAGTCTGTTGTGAAACCACTTCGTGGATTTATCCTGATTCCACAGAATAATGGGTCTCTGTCAGGAGTGTATGGTTGGACCACAGGTACTTACTTACTCACGCCTGTTACTCCTCGTGAAGCAGCATAAGCCACTCACCAGCATTCTCCATCCAACCCTGTCCTGTGCGATTCTTTTCTAGCTCTTTCCAGTTTTTATTCATTTTTTCATATCTGATTCTATTTCCCGACGTAATGTGTTCTTTTGCACTTTTCCACTTCTCTTCAGGATTCTAAGTAAGCGCTTGTCTCGTGAAGTAGTTTGATGATTTGCGTAATGTATGTCCTATCCATTTCCATCGTCTTTTCCTAATTTCTTCTTCAGCTGGAAGCTGATTTGTTCTCTCCCACAAAAGGCTATTGCTGATAATATCAGACCAATGGATGTTGAATATCTTGCGTAGACAGCTATTTATAAATACTTGTACTTTCTTGATTGTGGTTGTTGTAGTTCTCCAAGATTCTCACTTTGATATTGGTTGACAATTGTTTTGAGTTCCATATGTTCTTCAATTGTAGGAATGTGACCTTTGCTTTGCCAATCCTTGCCTTTACATCTGCATCTGAGCCTCCTTGTTCATCGACGACGCTTCCTAGATACGTGAAGGATTCTACATCTTCCAGAGTTTCGCGACCAAGAGTGATTGGATTGCTGTTCTTCGCCTTGAATTTGAGGACCTTGGTTTTCCCTTTGTGTATGCTGAGGCCTACTGATGCAGAGACTGCTGCCACACTGGCTGTCTTTATCTGCATCTGTTCGTGTGTACGTGACAGGAGGGCTAGGTCATCTGCGAAGTCCAAATCGTCTAATTGATTTTGAGCTGTCCATTGTATTCCGTGTTTTCCGTCAGATATCGAGGTATTCATAATCCAGTCGACCACCAGAAGACAGAGGAAGGGAGAGAGTAAACAGCCTTGTCTGACTCCGGTCCTTACTTGGAATGCATCTGTCAGCTGTCCTCCATGCACGACTTTGCATTGTAGTCCGTCGTATGAGTTCTGGATAATGTTGACAATCTTCTCAGGAACTCTGTAGTGTTGAAGAAGTTTCCATAACGTCCTTCTATCCACACTGTCACATACCTTTTCATAATCAATGAAGTTGATGTATAGTGACGAGTCCCACTCAACTGATTGTTCGACGATGATCCGTAGTGTTCCGATCCTTACGGAATCCAGCTTGTTAATCTCGAAGTTGGGCGTCTACCTCATCTTTCATCCGGTCCAGCAAAACTCAGTTAAAGACTTTTCCTGGTACTGACAGTAGTGTAATGCCTCTGTAGTTTTCACATTTGTTCAGATCCCCTTTCTTTGGAATCTTGATGAAGTGTCCTTCTTTCCAGTCCATCGGCACTTGTTCCTCCTCCCAAATGTTTTTGAATAGAAGGTGAAACATGTTTGTAGTCAATTCGATGTCCGACTTCAGTGCTTCAGCTGGTATGTTGTCTGGTCCTACTGCTTTCCCGTTCTTGATTTGTCTGACGGCCATTCTGTTTTCTTCCTTCGTTGGTGGGTTGACGTCCATCGGAAGATCTGTGTGTGCTGCTTCGATGTCCGGTGGATTCATTGGAGCCGGCATATTCAGGATTTTCTCATTGGATCCTAGATGTATTCTATCCATCTGTTCCACTGTTGTTGAATTTCAGTGATTGGTTTGCCTTCTTTGTCTCTGACCGGTCTCTCTGGTTTACTTTATTTCCCTGATAGTTTCTTTGTTGTATCGTAAAGTTGCTTCATATTTCATTCTCTAGTAGTTTTTCCCGCCGTCGTTGCTAGTTTTTCCACGAATTTCTTCTTGTCGGCTCTAATGCTCCTCTTCACTTGCTTGTTTGCTTCTATGTATTCAGCTTGTGCTTTCTCTGCTCGTGTTCGGCTGTTGTTAATTGCTGACTACTTGTTCTTCCTTTCTTTGATCTTGTCCAGTGTTTCTATAGAGATCCACTGTTTATGATGGTGTTTCTTTAGGCTCAGAACCTCTTGACACGTTGAAGTTAATGCTTCTTTGATACTTTTCTAGTTATGCTCCATAGTAGTTTCTCCTTTCAGTAGATCTTGTAAGGCTTGGAACCTGTTGTTGAGAGCTATCTTGAAATCAGTGAGTCTGTCAGAATCTCGATGGAAGGCTGTATTGAACCTTTGTATTGTTGCTTGTCTAGTCATCCAGTTTTTTTCAGCTTCAGTTTTAAATTGGCTACAACTGGGTGGTGATCTGAAGCTATGTCAGCACCTCTCCTGGTTCTCACATCTTCAATTATCCTACGGAATTTTTTGTTGATGCAAATATGATCTATCTGGTTCTCTGTAGTGTGGTCCGGTGAGATCCATGTAGCCTTATGTATACGCTTGTGTGGAAATATTGTGCCTCCTATGACCAATTTGTTGAATGCACATAGATTTGCAAATCTTTCTTCATTTTCGTTTCTCTGTCCCAGTCCATGTAGTCCCATAATATCTTCATATCCGGTGTTGTCTATCCCGACTTTGGCATTTAGATCTACCATTAGAATGATGAGGTCATTTCTTGGGCATTTCTCTATGATTGACTGCAGTCGCTCGTAGAATTGATCTTTAATGTCGTCGTTGTTATCATTGGTGGTTGCATAACATTCGATAAAGTTCATTGTAATCCCCTCCTTCTTTGTTTTGAGTGATGTTTCTGGATCCGTGAGATTTTCATAATATAAGTGCAGTTCGTGCTTATTTGGACAGAATCAGAACAACTCTCTGTGTGGAGCATTTTCTTCTTCGTGACCGGAGTATAGCAGCATATCTCCCTTATTTAGCCTTCGTTGTCCAGCTTGAGTCCAATGGGTTTCGTTGATTTCCAGTACTGCTAAGCTGTATCTCCTCATTCTTGCTGCTATTTGACTGGCCTTCCGGTCTCCCACTTTGTTCAGACATCTCATGTACCTATAAAAATTGTTGCTGTGGTTGTTAGAAAGGACATCGGCCTCGTGACTTCCGAAGGAACTCGGCTTTCACCATAAAGCGTCATAATTCTTCTAAAAGAAGACCTTCTAACTCCCAGGGCAGAGTTAAAATGGTTTGAATTATTTTTTCTTGTAAGCGTTTTTTAGTGAGTTAGTTTTCTACGTAACGGGGACGCTAACCCATGCCCAACCCTCCTTTACCCGAGCTTGGGACCGGCAGTAACTCTAGAAGAGCTATAGGCGGAGTTCGGACCACAAGTGTGTTAGGCATATTACAACCTTGGAGGAGAGCGATTCGTTCTACTCAACAAGTCGCTAGCTACTGTTTACGTTGAAGCAACACTAGCATGAATCTCTCAATTCGATCGCTTGGGTGCTGTGTTGTATTAGGTTTTCGAAGTGATCATCTATTGTTTTGTAGACCCCATGGCATCGAAATGTGTCATGCCTCGCAAGCTCACTTAGTTTTATGAGATTCATGGAGATTACAATATTTCACTCAGGACGTTAGTCTTCAGATCTAACTGAGTACTATCTCGGAATATGACGCGGCCGGCTCTCAACAGCTTACACACAACCAATTACGTACCCAAAAGTCAATAACTCCGACGATGTCGAATACAATTTAGTGGCAGTCTTTATGCGCACTAACTGTTTCACGATTATTGTCATTCACATCAAGCAAATCCTTATCACACTCATGCTTGGCTAGTCTACCTAGCCACTCTCGAATAAACTGCTAGTCATTTTTCGTCTACATCATACAACCAATAAGCATAGGACTCAACGGTCCAAAGACGGTAAACGAATCCCTACACTTACTTCACTATGCTGAGGATGTGATTTTGTTTCACACAATTCTGGAATATTTCTGAAGTAATATTTTGTATTGACTTATATCTGATAGCAACTAGCCCTTATGAGTTTTCTGACTTTATAACACGAATTTTATGTAGCTAGTCGTAGTTATCATGTTCGACTCTTTATCTTTGGTCATTTGTAAATCAAATGTTACTGTAACTGCTAAAGATAATATGTCATTTCCACATAAATCCGATCAGGTACCTAGACCTTGGCTGAACCACTGTAGGATTCGAGTTATGGTAGATAGTGAGTTTCATTTGCGTACCTCACATATGCAAATTGATATCACTTCTGCTGTAACTAATTCTGTAAGCAGTGAGAAATACTCATCTCCGTCTGTTATGATAGAACGTTGAGTAACTCCAGAATCAAAATGAATAGATCCACCTAACTCCTTTTACACATTCAACTAATTATTTCGCAAAGATCTGTTTGACAATGTTATTTTACTCAGTAGCTGTTAAACTGTATTTGTCGTTAACAAAATAAACGAGAGTCTAGTAAATAGATAGAAATAGGAATACACAGTCTCAAGAGTTAGAAGACTTGCGTCATGCAAAACCAAAGTTTAAAATTTACAAAAGAAATTTGTTTATATGACGAGTGGTAATAACAAGCATCAGAAGGACTTTTGATGGAGTTACTTTTGTTATTTGAACACAAGCCCTAATAAATGCCAATTACTGATCGCAAAACATCCTTTCTCAAAAAGAACATGTTACTCACTGCTAAATGTAAATAAAATAAAGAATAAACAGAAGTTATTCTTGAAAAAAAGTGTGTTGATTGTCATAATGAAAAAAGACTTCTTTTTAGATAACACGGACAGAAAATAGAGAAAATCGAGTGTAAATTTTTCTGGTCAAATTAATCCACCTCATGACGATGATCCAACATTTCGTGGAGTGGTTTCTGTTAGAGCACGAGCAGGCAGCAACAATGCCGAATATCTAAGGTTCTATTCTCATTTAATTTTTCGATTGGGAGGGCAAAATAAAAGTTAAGAAGAAAAGTACACATATAAGTAATTTGATGAAGAAAATATTCGTGCAAAAAACATTTTTTTTAGAAATTGCTGTAATGTAAACTGAAGAACATGTAACATTCACTGAAAGCTGTTATTACGATCGGTCTATAGCTTTTGTAAAATGTACGACTCAATTATCACATTGAAACCTATCAGTGGAGTGGTGGTTCAGTGGTAAAAGAGACGAACTTTCAGCTGAGGGTTTCAACCCCCACCTACTACTCTGGTTCAGGCAGTCGTGCGACATTAACATCTCCTAAACATCAAATATTGTTCACGACCAAGTAAATGAATCCCTATACCTAGGTTAGCTAACAAACACCAAACAAGTGGATGTCAACAATGTTTATATTATCGCCTGTGTTGAAAGTAGTAGACCAAGAGTCGAAACCCAAGACTAAATAATACTGATTATCTGTTCCGGGGAATTTCGATTTGGAAAAGTCATTAGATTACTTGCAAATCACTTAACTAATCTTAGATTTACATTATTTGCTGGAGAAAAGTTTACACACCGTACACTAAGTATTCATCATTTTCACTGAGATCCAAGATATTTAACCTTTGCTTCGGTGCCTGTTTGGTACGTAATCATTAACCTTAATTTCAAGGGAATTATGAACTTGATTAAGGGCGATAGGTATAAAGCCAGTTTGATTTTTGTCCATATTATCAATATGTCTTATATTCAGTAGTCAAATTTTTAAGATCAAGATTATGGATAGGAAGTTGTTTATTTTCATTATTTCGAAAAGTATAATTGTTGCCCAAGCAAAGTAACCACTTGTTTAAAGAATAAAAAATAATAGACAACAGATAATTCATTATATCGAATTGTAACAAGATGCATCTAATAAGATATTTGTAGTCGTATATTCAAACATATTTGTGATGGAAGGCTATTTCCAAGCGATCCCTAAATAAACATTGAATTCTTAGGCGAATTGCAAGAAACAGATAAAACAATTAGATTATTCAGGCAAACACCACACATGCTGGAACATAATCAATCATAATATATTCCGTGAATCGATGTGATAATAAACTGAGAAAATGATTCGGCATGATCAAACGATAACAAGAAACAAGCCCATCATATCATGAATTACTAACAATATGTGGGCTGTGGAAATCGTTGAAACTCGATGAAATTACGAAACGACTTAAGTACTACTTTGGGATTCCACAGTAGCGTGTATTTTTCATTCCATTTTTGAAAACGTGATTATTATCAGCTTGAGTTTTGCGTAGAAATCTGAGCTACCAATACGAGTCTATGAGAAGTAAGGAGTCAGTATCCTTAGATAATACTGTTTAAAATCGATTATAGTGATTCAGGCGTATTCACATTTTACTGTTTTCAACTGTCCGATTGTATATACTGGATTCAAACTGATAATTTCATATATCAACACAGCTGGTAGGTTCGTTTGATATATGATTCATTAGTTCAGCATCAATAATTTCACCGCGATTGACCGAAACTGCATTGTATATCGGAGAATGAAGTACTATTAATACCTATTTAATAAATTTGCCGCTACTAGAGATGCGAAGGTAGTTTTAAACCAAGGTGAATATTTCTCAACGCTTAGACAAAAAACACTTATGATTTTATTGGTTGCGTATGGTGTAACTTTGTCAGTATCATATAGATTTATTCAAACACATAAACATTGGCACAGGGAGGAACCAAATACATATGCGCATACTTCGTCACTTGATTTGTGTGTGAGTTGGAATACTGCCCGGGTGCCCAGACTGAAGCGGGTGGTTTTCTTAGGGGGCCACTCAACGAGCCTATGACCTAGAGGTATAGTCAACAATGCAGTTGAGCAATGTTAGGAGATGAAATCCCATGGTAGCCGGTGACCAACAACTGGTTAATATGCCATTTGTTCCCTCACAATCCTAGAGCCCATGTGCACCTTTGGTTTAGAATGAGAGCCTACCAACCCCACTAAGTCGACCCTCCGTATCCACCAACCTGGTTAAAGCACCAGATATTTGCTTTTTGTCTCCTCTATTTCGTAAGCCGCATCGCGAGAAGGCAGTGGGTAGGTTTTCCCTGGCAGTGGCTGTATACGCGTGAATTCGCTAGTACCCAAGTAGTACTCAGTTTTCTACCCTGTAAATTTGGTTCAACCATTATCAAATCACAAATATATCAATAGGAATCTACTATCTAATCAATATCTTATTGTGCATGAATAAACTAGGTTGATTTTCCAATCTTTCCCAGGGAAAAATTAAATGCAAAAAAGCTTACCGATTTACGAACAGATCTTAGGAAACCAGCATTGGATGTTATTGTCAGCGCTTCTAATACATTGCCAACTTCCATGATACGCTAGAAAAAATCACAAAGTGTACTTTTGTTTATTAATATAACCACTAAAAATGAATACTCGAAAGATATACATATACATACATACATATCGTTCATTGAAACAGTGTGGAATCAGTTATTTTTCTAAGGGAATCACTGAACCAAATAGCCTATTGACTAAGTAGTTCATTGTCTTTTTTAGAAAGTATCTGATCCAATTGGAGTATAACCATTTAAACTTTTAACTTGTTGCATTCGATTTTAAGTCACTTAGACTAGTGGATGGATACATTACAATTTGGTCGATAGAATACGATCCTTAACACTAGAGGATTAGATAAAGAAGACAGTATTCACTAATCACCCAGTGATCAACTAGTTTTAAATATCTAGGTCATATAGAGGGTCAGTCACTATCCGAATAGCTCAGTGATAACATAGAGCACCACAAAGCCGGGTGGTGCAGGCTCAAGTCCCACACGAAGTATCAACTCCTGGAAGATCATAGGTATATTCTGCAGATGAGTGTCAACTAGCATGAAAACTAGGTTGATACAGAGTTTCTTGTCAGTTAACTCCAACCACCTGATGTGTGTGCAATGGAACAATTGAGTAATTCACTCATGTCCAAGTTCACTACGAAAACGAAGCAAATGATAGATGAAAGGTGAATTTGAAAGCTACCAAACAGTACAACAACTAAAAAAAAGACTAGCTTAGTGTACGAAATATCCCAGATACAATGATTCGACTATGTGATATTCAAATACTGAACGAGAGGTTTAAAACACTCTTTTCTAGAGGAAATTAGGTCAAGAAGACACAGTATTATTAGGATTATTACACAGGAATTTATTTTAGGATCATGCGCGGTTAACCATTAAAATAAATTATTATTATTACCATGCATTTTAATCATTTATAGAAATGTTAGGAAAGGTTTGAATTATCCTGTTATTGAAATTACAAACTGAAATATGATCGGTCTTAGTTGGTATATATGCACACTTTGCAGATTGTCTTGATAAAGCCATTATGATACAAGTCACATAGAATAAGATTGTCGCTAGTAGTAGGATTCAGGGCATGTCTCGTCTTACTGTCGATGCTCACACCTGAACTCAAACTAAAAATCTCTTACTTCAAATGGTCAATGCATCATCCAATTGCTCTTGAAACAACCTCATTATTTATCTGAACCGCTTACAATCAGACAATTCATTATGATGTAATCGAGAGTGCTCAAAGCCGATATTGATTAAATATTGTAAAAGTGTATGATATGAAATTAAAAATGTGTTATTAGTCTATGGAATGGTTACCGATATCTGCCTATTATTTCATACAATCGACAGCTTTTCAATATTCAGATACGAACTATTCATTAATACAATAAGTGATCTGATAGTGACCCATAACTAAGGTACTAAAACGTATAGTGAAATTTTAGGAGAATTTACGAAAACATTTGAGGAATACTTTTGAAGATAATCAAATGAAGAAGACAACCTTTTTTTTCTTCAAATTGACCAAACCTTTCAAAGAGGATTAAAAGAATGATTCAAGATCATCTATGATAGTCGACTATCAGTATTAATAGAAACGTTAAATATGTCAAGTTACTTGTGTTTCACAGTTGTTAAATTCATTGTCTAGATAATGGCTAATCAACTGAATTTGAGAAAATCATCAATTCACTACTAAAATAAAGGATTTGAAAGAGTCTAACTTCTAACAACTGACAGTGTCATTTTGATTGCAATACGAAACGAAAATGGAACAAGTATATCGTCATATCACAGGAGACAAGATTCAAATACATTAAGATTTAGTAAAATATATTGTCACCTTATTTTTCACGTATATATAACTTACTTGAGTTAATAAATAATTGGAATTCTTAGATTCTCTTGTTTTACTAAATGGTGAAATTATTTCACCTGATGAATTTAAATCAGGTAATATAACTAAGTGACTAATTAATCGAATTCCACGTTTCCATTCACTTAGTCCAGATATTAAGGCAAGAATATTTAAAAATGAATGAACAGCGCTTAAGCATACTACGGGTACTTTGCCTTTAAAAAAAGAAAAGAGAAAAAACCAAATTTGTAACATAAAATATTATTTTTTTAAAATGAGTATCGATATATTAGTTCGTACATAAGATCATGTGAACAGTTAGTGTTAGCGGGATATATATTAGATCATATCATGTTTTAGGCGGAATCGTGTTGGAGCATGTTGACTGGCTATTTCTTAACCAATCAGTGCTAGAGGATAAATTGGAGAAGACTCTAGAATCTTTTTACGTAAAAATTATAAATATGGCAACGTTTCAGATAGTGGTTGGAGGTAGTCAACAGGAAACCCTGGACCCGGGTTTCGTGCTATTTGGCATTCGTCAGCAAGGTGTACCTGTAATCTTGAGGGAACTGGTGCTCCCTGGCGGATTCGATCTCGTGTCACCCAGCTTCACAGTCAGAGACGTTACCACTGAGCTATCCGAGCCGTGACTATCCTCCTGTAGGACTGAGATGTAATCACAATTGATTGATCACTGGGTGGTGATCAATGTCATGCTTGTTTAGTCCTTATTAGTGCAGATCGAATGCTATCGATCGTGTTGCAATGTGGCCACCAGTCTAGGTGACTCGACACTGCGGCCACTATGTATTGAGATTTAGATGGTGGTTGTAGGTAGTCAACAGGAAACCCTGGACCCGGGTTTCGTGCTACTTGGCACTCGTCAGTAAGGTGTACCTGTAATCTTGAGGGAACTGGTGCGCCTTGGCGGATTCGATCTCGTGTCACCCAGCTTCACAGTCAGAGACGTTACCACTGAGCTATCTGAGCCGTGACTAACCTCTTGTAGTCTCCTTATTGAGTATTTACATGTATTCCGAATCGTTAATTGATTTTATAATTGTAACTGTACTCTCTCTGTTCTTCCCAGTTTTACGCAATGAAAAGCTGAGTCACCTAGACTGGTGGCCACATTGCAACACGATCGATAGCATTTGATCTGCACTAATAAGGACTAGACAAGCATGACATTGATCAAAACCCAGTGATCAATCAATTGTGATAGCAACGTTTCTCTTATTATGATTCCTACTTCAATCCACCCTTGTTATTTGTAATATAATTACGTTCCTGTTCAACCATGTTTTGTTTTTTGGGTTTTGTTGAGTGAAGCAGTGTCCAAGAAATACTAAGCAACAAGAGTAGATGAGTCGTAAGAAGAGAAATGTGATTGAATTATATGAATGTAAGTAAATGCATCACAGAAAATCATAAAAAATAATACTTATAACTAATTGTTAATTTCATCTATATAGTTCTTTATTTATGAAGTATTTATACAAGCAAACACAGTTATAAACAATCTAGAACTAATATGAAAAAAAGAAAGAAAAAGATACAATGACAAACAAAGAAAGCAATTTTTAGGAGGAAGGAACAATATTTCATGTCATTCAAAATTTGCAAAGTAGTAGTATTTAGTTTTGTGCCTGCTCTAATCTACAAATTAAAATCTTTTATTGAGTGTAATTCAATTTTAAATGGTTTTTGAACTATCCTTTTGTTGATATTTCTGACTGAAATTTGATCAGTCTTGGTTGGTATATGTGTATCTTGTACAGATCGCCCTGATATAGCCATTAGAACACAAGTTGGTATAAAATAAATGTGGTTAGCAATAGAATCTAGGACGCGCGTTTCATCTTATTTGGGACTCGGCAGTTAGATATACCTGCATCCCAGAGTTGATATTCACATCGGGACTCGAACCCGGTACTCACCTACTAAATCCGAATGGACACTTATTTGTTTAGTGTATGGAGTACTGTCATACCATTTTCTACTTCAAAATTACTGTAGTTTAAAAGTGACCATTGCATTTTATTTTTTATACTCTAATGTTCTAGTTTAGATACAATAGTTTTTTATTATGTATCCCTACGGTCTCGTTGGTCATGCATTCATGAACCTTCGATAACCAAAAAATACATAAACTTGATGCTTCGTTGATGAAGAAGCCATGTGGAAATAGTTGAAACAGCTGTTGAATGTTAAAAATACTTTAATCTTCCTACGTCTGATGTGAGTAGTTTTCAACTGTTTATATCATTCAGTAATGAATGAAAACCAGACTTAATTAACATCAAATATCTAGTGAGTATTCAAATACCACCACTACCAAGTTGTAGACATTATTCATCTTCCCAATGTAAACATTTCATTATTTCGTTGCATCAAATCATGATAATACACAACTATCTTCTAATACCGTTGATGGGTAAGTACACTACACAGCATATGATCGAACTTCACTGCTCAAAGCTTCTCATTAGGACTTCGGCAATTATCTATCGAAATTACTCAATGATAAATCACATTGTTATTACCATAAAGGACTTGTGGAAATTGTTGAAATTCATAGTTTACGTCATGGACTGATCACAGAAATATAGCTGGTAATGAATTTAACCACAATAATAAATTGATCACAGAATACCTCGAAGATATTTATTCATCGATAGAAGTACTGGAACTTCAGCTTCAGATTTTATTAGCCATTCGAATTTTTCTGGTTTCAGTGGAGGATGGTTCAAAAGTAATTGTGTACGTCTTTCTACTGATTGTAAACATTCTAAAATTTTATCAGATACAGCTTCGTCATGATTATCATTATTGTCAATTGATATCAATCGATCAGTAGGAGAATATGTTGGATTGAATTGAGACAGTTCAGAGACAAAAGCAATCAAAGCTGAAACATCCAAATTTATACGATTCACTTCATCTACACTAAAAAACGAAAATAAATTCAAATATAACAGAAGAAATATGGTTAGTATTGGAATCCAGGATCCACATTTCATTTTGTTTGGAATTCGTCAGTCGGATGTACCTGCTACATTTCAGAGTTGATGTTCAATCCAGGAATACACACTATCTACAACCAACAGTGAAATAATAAAAGTCAACAATCATAAATATAGGTTCAAGTAATGCAACTGTTCACAGATTCGTGTACTCAGAGCTCTGAGATACATGTTAAGTATAAGGGCTACTACTACCGGGATCGCCTGAAAGGAAATGTAGTCGGTGTCGAGCACGTTCAATCAGTCTTCGTTTAAATCTCAAATTTTTTAATCGGAAAATTTCTCTATATTAATCCAATCACGTGTTCTATGACAAATCCTTTCTATTACCACTGATACTATTACTGTCTCTACTAATCTGAGATTCGCCCTGACAATTTCATCATCCTGTCTTAATAGCGTGGTGCATGCTACTTCCGCCGACAGACATAAGTAGTATGTAGTAGCAATCAGAAGTGGAATGCCTTCCAAAAGAAGATTGAATTGAAGAGAACAGGGAGAGGAGCAGATAGCAATTGGAGTGACAACAGAATTGGAAGAATCCATTTTGAAAATTAACTTTCCACACCAAATCTTCGTTCATTACAATCGGGCAATTTAAATGGGTGTACACGTATCAGGTTCTACATTGCGTATGACTGACTGTAAATGTCCGATCCAAGGATATTTAGAGGATAAATTACTGCTTGGAGTCACTTCAATATGCATCCACTATTTAACTTATTTCTATACAGCATATTTGTATTGGTCACATAAAGATATTCTCCTTTGTTGAACTGTCTCAATTTTGTTTTATATAATAAGTTTATTCCGTTAAAATCATTTCAACATCCAATTTAACATCTTCAGGAAAAAACACTTACCGACTATAAGAATCTATTAGGAATGGCCATAATGCACATTTCTGTAAAACTGCATCCATTGGATAAGTAATTTTGAAGGAATTCAATGAATCATCCACTTCAAACAATAACATTTCATCAGTAAGAATACTGGCCTTCTGTTCTTCGTGATTAACTGTTTTGGACAATCTATTCAACAATGACAGTATCTTTTCTATAGCTTCAAATTTAAATTGTTTGAAATCACCAGACGTGTTATCGTATTCAGTAAAACTATTTAAAAATTTCTTGAATTTATATACAGGTAAGATTAAATTTTTAAGAGATACAGTATAGTTAGGACTTTTGAAAATGATAGTAGGAATATCACAGTTATTGATCCATGGATTAGAACCAGTAAGTAATGTCACATCAATATTCTGAAGATATTCACGTAAATCTGAATCTATATCATTGATTTCAGCACAGAAAGATCCATGTGGTAGCCAATGTACAATTACACGAATCCAATATTTCGGTTGACCTCGTTGATACCAGTGAGATGCTAGGACTAATTCTTCCGCTTGACGTCCCAAACAAGCTACATGTTTTGAAGAAGCTTCACCTATATGAACATCGGAAATTTTAGTAAAAATGGGTAGAACTAAACCATAAAAACGAGCTTGAATGACTCTTGACTTTATTCAGCCGACCAGAAAACAGAAATTATAGATAAATAATTGATAGTCCTAGGACTGGAAATAAGGACTACAATTCAAGATTTATGATTATGATCTAGAGTTTACAGCTAGTGTCTAAACTAGTATGCAGAATTTAAGATTTATGGAAAGGATCTAAAACTTGGGGATATAGTTAAAACAAAAGTTTAGGATTAAGAGTTGTGACTTAGGGTTATGATTTAAGATTAAGTTTTACGGTTAGCCCCTATGCACCCTAACCCTAAATTCTTCATCTTAATCATAAAACTAAACCCAGCTCAAAGCCTATATCCATATGAACAAAAGTTAATTGATAGAAATAACAAACACCAAGAAAGGTTTATATTAAAACCACTTGAACATACGCAAATAATAGACTGTATTGTCGAGTAAATTCACTTTAAGTATGACTGACGAAAAAATCACCGGAACTCACACGCAAAGGGATGCGCTACATTATAAGTGACATCTACTGATTTCGAACCCACAGTTAAAGGAAAGACGTTTTATTCTATAGTCCAATGGAGCGAATTGAAGTATATTTAGAGAAGCTTAAATGCATACGTAACCTATATGTAGTAATCCCAAGCTCTGTGTTGTTTTAGCTAGTTACAAATTACATGCATATGATCATGCATTTACAAAGCACCTTTATGTGTAGTGGAACTATCCATCAGTGTAACAGAGAAGCTAGATATAAGGTTCAGGACCAGAGAGTCAGTTCAGCCGGTGAAGTTGTAGATCTACACTCACTGAGGTAGTAGCGCATTCATAACAACTGGTCCGGTGATCATTGCTGACTCCCATGAATGGTGATCCCTTGTACATAATTAAGCTAGGGAAATACTTCGAGTATATGTTTTAAAAACTCATTTACCGTCTACGTGGGTATGACTCGTACACTCTAGGAGTGACATTAACCGGTTGTCCAAACTTAAATAGATGGAGCGGAGTTCTGACCAAAGATTCAGTGGCAGAAAGTTGAACATCTTAACCATTAAGCTTAGTAGCTTTCGATTACGTCTTTCCTCGTTTTGTCTTTATGAGAAATACAACAACTTGAAAGAATGCTCTTGTGTGTAAGATACTAGGTTGATGTCTTTAATGGTCGAAATAAGAAAGCACGCATAAACATACCACCTGATGTATATTACTTGACAAAACTACACAATTATTAGATCACATGAAATAGAATATAAAGTATGTGCTCATGATGTTGTCGTTCAAAACAGTTAACAATTAAACTATCCAGATCAGTAAAAATCAGTTTACTATTTATATTAATCACTAATTCAAAAGTTTATTCCATAACATCACCAATAATCACTTCATACTGACATCATACAGAAATTAAGAGACTGCAATAGTCGAACATCAGTAATTATATACCAACATTAAAGGCTCGCTTTATCATGATCAATCATGTTTTGCAGTTGTGTATGAAAAGTAACTCCGCCCGTAGCTCTTCTAGAGTTACTGCCGGTTCCAATCTCGAGTAAAGAAGGAGGGTTGAGCATGAAGTCAATAACTCTATCCTATACAAAACAACCTTGCTAAACAAACGCTAACCACAATAAAATATTTGAACCTATTAAACTCTGCCCTTCGGTTTCAACGATCTTCATTCATAACAATTATGACGCCTCACGATGAAGGCCTAAATTCTTAGGAAGTGACGAGGACGATACCCCTTCTAACAACCAGAGCAACAATTAATATAGGTACATGGAATGTCCGTACAATGTAGGAGACCAGTAGGACCAGTCAAATAATTACGAAAATGAGGAGATACAACTTGGCAGTACCAACTGACCCATTACTACTACTAATTATTACGACTACCGGAACACTTACCTATTATATTGCATTACTCCGTAACTGTAGTCTAAATTTTCAGATTGAATGGATAAAAATGCATCAAAATTACTCATTCACGTGCTACCGCAAAAAAATTTACAATAAAGAATGATTAGCAAAACAAACACATATTACCTCGCCAAGCATTATTAAGACGAGATGAATCACGAGTCACAACTTTAATCCACAAAGCAGGAGCCCATAGACTAGCTTCATCTGCATTACCATAACAGGTTCTAGATCGTGAAAAATCATCGATACCTTCATCTGATTGTGTACATATTAAATCAATGAGCAGAGAGTCTAGAAAATATTATTTGAAGAAATAAAATCAAATTATCATTGAGTGGTAGGCTAGCTATCGTATTCATATAATGACATTAGGTTTAATTAAATAATATCAACACCGACTAGCATAATAGATGTATCCTGATACTTATTAACGACACTTAGGGATGAATGTATGACACTACATATACATAAAACAGACTTAAATCGTATAGAATCTAACACGTAAGTGTGTTCGACTGACTATTATAAGCTTAATTTGGCACATATCGGTTCCCAGAAACATGAGGAAATAAATGAAAGGAGAAAGAGGTTAGAGTATAAGAGTGTAACAACCGATTTTGGTAAGTTTAATAGCTAACAATGCTACTATTTACAAACAGTTTTCTACTCAACATACTCCAAATTCGTCGGCCAGACATCATCAACAAGCTACCGTGGTACGGAACAAAACATATCCCAGCTGAAGAGGAAATTAGGAAAAAACTTAGGAGGTGGATGGTACACATATTTTGGAAATCACCAAACTGTATCACAAATCAAGTCAGTCAGTCAGTCAGCTACAACGTAGGACCAGGCACATGTGTGCATCGGTCCAGTTTGCCATACCGCATCAGCACAACAAGATGAACACCGGATTCATAACAGTGGTTAGGTAAAAGGTGGTAATATATAAGAGAAAGATTGCATATAGAGATATAGTACAAGAAGAAAGAATTGGTTCGTAGAAAGAAAGATATGAAGCGCTTTTAATCTCTTAGTTTAAGGGAAGACAGTGAGTGTATACACCGACGCCATTGTGATCGATTCTGAGCCATGTCACCAAGAGTCTCCAACCATTGGTTACGATAGTCACAAATCAAGACCTAGCTCGAAATCCTCAAGGCAAAACGAGAAGAAGAAATAACACTTCAGCCGGAAATCTGAACCAGACATCAAAAGAATTAACAGGAATTAGCAACGACTGGAAAGGAAAACCCAGAAAATAGTTGGTTGGACAATGCTGGTCGGCGGCCTACGTTCCACGAGAGGTAACATGCATAAGTAAATAAAGTAACAGTGTAAATTTGACGTAAGTGTCGTTTACTTGGCAGTCCTATCGCATAAAACAGATAGCTTAATGATATGGTCACTTGAAATTCAATTACTAAGAATCAGGTTCCATACCCACTGCACCTACTTCGGCCTGGGCGACCGAGTAGTATCACTAGCCCTTACACCAGAAGTGAGGTTCAAAGCTAAGTACATGATAAATCGGCCAATTAATATAAAAGTGATATAACGGATGGTTCTAAAAGATTTTCCTCTCTTCGCGGTATACCACGCTAAGCTACATTCGATACATGAATGGTACACAATACAGATACCAGGTCTAGGATTCACAACCCAGAACAGAGAGCCAGATTAACACTAGATAATACTTTATTCAACGCAGTTACAAGCAGTCACTCTGAGACGGGAGTAAAAACCAATAAGAAAGGAGGAAATCCATACTTAATAGTCAGTAGGTTATGCCTTTTTGTCCATTTATTATTTATTTATTTGAACACATAAATATTGGTACAAGAGAGCGCCAATATATATGCGCCACACAATGAGAATTCGAAGAGAAAAAAAAGGTAAGGAGCGTAAAAAAAAGAACAATAACGATGAGACTGGTGTAAGGTAGTGTAGTAACAATAATAGTAATAATGAGGAAACGAAAAGGTACAATCGGAAGAAATCTTTCAGTTGAGGGAGACACAACCACTTTTTATGAAGAAATTAAACGTTACAGCAGGATCGCCACTGGCTTCTATTCTGAGCCATATCTGATAACATCTCTAGCCACTGTGTAGCACCGTCTCTCGGAGTCGTGAAGGACCAACAGAAGCCAGTCCTTTGCAGCTTTCTTTCATGCCACGACACCATGTCATGCACTGACCACCTCTCCGCTTCATCCAACCAGTCCCAAAGTCGGCAAATAATGCACGACGTGGAGTCCTCTGGGACGACATTCGTAGAACATGTCCAAGCCACCGAAGTCGATGCCTCAAGATGGTAACACCAACTGGATTATCATCTCTGTGCCCAAACACACGATGCCGAACCTCTGCATTACTGACATGGTGTTGCCACTGAATGTCAGCAATCCTTCGGAGACAGCGATGATCGAACACAGAGAGTCGTCTAACGTCCTCAACTCGGAGAGGCCAGGTTTCACAAGCATAGAGCAAAACTGCTCTCACCGACGCGTTGCAGATCCGACCTTTTACAGCTACACTAACATCACGAAGGCGCCAAAGATGCCCCAGATTGGCATAAGACGCTCTGGCTTCCACTATTCGTGCATTGATCTCATCAGTCACACCCCCACCAGAACTTATGCAGCTACTTAGATACACGAACTTCTCGACTACTTCTATCTGTTCACCATACAGGGTGGGTACAGGATTAAAATCATGCCAGTCTTGTAGAAGTACTTTGCACTTCGGAGGTGCAAAGCAAATACCGTACCTACGGATACTGATTGCCAACAGATTGAGTGCGGATTGCATGGCTTGGGCATTATCGCACAGTAAGACAATATCATCCGCATACTCAAGGTCGAGAAGTCTTTCTCCAGGCAACAGATCCACACCACCATGACTTACATCGAACAGAGCTGTTTCCAAAATGTCATCGATGGCAAAGTTGAAGAGGAATGGTAAGATTAGGCAACCCTGTTTAACCTCACTGCTTGAGTGCAACAATGGAGAAACGTGGTTGTATGCCGTCACTCTGCCTGAGGTGTTTGTATACAGGGCTTTTAGGATGTTAATAAGCTTCTCAGGAACACCCTTCTTCAATAGACAATCCCAGAGAACAGTCCTATCCAACGAATCGAAGGCAGCCCTGATGTCAAGAAACACTACGACTGTTGGCCTTTGATAAGTATGGCGGTGTTCTAACATTTGGCGGAGGGTGAAGATATGATCAATACATCCTCGACCAGAACGAAAACCAGCCTGCTCCTCGCGAGTCAATCTTTCTCGGGTCTTGAACAACCTACGAAGTATGACGGAAGGCAATAGCTTGGACGCAATCGAAAGTAGACTTATCCCCCGATAGTTGTTACAGGAACGACGTGAACCCTTTTTAAAGATAGGGACAACTATCGACTCATTCCATGACGTAATTACCAGATGCAGCTGTTGCTTCCAGCTCACTAGTACGCTCCGACCACCAGGCTTCTCGGTCCTTACGCAAGCTTTTCCCAATTTCCTTACGTAACATCCTTCGTTTGTGGTCAAACTCACGGTCACCCGGAGTAGACCGACGGGCTTCATTGAGTTGTAAGGAAAAAGAAGAAACCCAGTGCTTATAAGCGGGACGTTTCGCAAACCCACAACTAACTGTACCCGCCATTTTCATGGCGTCATGCAATTGCAACCAATGCTCATCTATAATTTTCGGTGGAATGGTAGCTAGCCTAGAAGCTAGCTCGGTTCGATACTTATTTGCAACAGAAGTTGTAACCAGCTTGCTAACATCAATACGTTGGTGGCGATCACTTCGTTGTCCAATGAAAAGTAAAGTAAGATTGGCGCAGACCAAGGCATGGTCAGAGTTCAGATAGGCACTCCAAAAGGAGCGGCAGTCTTGTACACAATAACGCCGGCGGTAGCTGATCGCGATTTGATCAGTCTGAGTCCAGGCTTGGGATGTGCTTGGTGCGATATCAACGCCAGCAAGACCAGACGAAGATGCCACAGGGTCCCCGGATGAGCGCGCGTAAAACAAGCTTTCCGAAGCGATAGATGAAGAGCGAATTTGTAGAACTTCACCAGAGTCTTGAATACGGGTCTGGGATAGACAGCAGACATCAATATTAAAATTTCCAAAGACATAGCCAGCCCTATCTGTTGTCCAACCTGCATAAGCGTGCAAACGTTGAAGGCAGCGAGTTTAAATGGTGCACGTAGTTTCAGAAAAACTGCTTCAGTACTCATAATAGGTGGTATCATACAATTTTCAACCAGACAGTGACTCGAGAACGTTTAGATACAGTCGAATTTCCACCAAAGACGAGCCGCTGTATAAGTATAAAAAAGGGTGAATAATGTGGTAAATAATAATAATTTGATTGTTAGTTGAAGCATGTAAAGTAGTTTCTATAATTATAGCCAGTTCATCATATTTGTGTGTGGGCTGTGATATTGCTCGGGTGACCAGACCGAAGCAGGTGGTTATCTAAGGGTGCCACACCCCGAGCCTTTGACCTAAAGGTCTAACCCACAAGGCAGTGGAGCATCGTAAGGAGATGCAGTCCCAAGGTAGCCGGTGACCAACGATTGGTTCATACGCCATTTGTTCCCACAGGATACAAGAGCCCATGTGCACCGTTGGTTTGGGATCCAGTTAAAGCGCCGGACATTCGCTTTTCGTCCTCTTATTTTCGTAAACAACGCCCTCACTGTGAGAAGGCAATGAGTAGGACTTCCCTGGCAGAGGCTGTATACGCGTGGCCGTGTGAGAGTATTTCGAGAGGGAGAACGGACTATCCCCACTCTCGGCCGTACAAGAGCATTTGGGAGCAATCACGTTCCACTCTCACTACCACACATCATTTTCCCTCTAGGTTTGTGGGTAGTTCTTGTCTCACATTCGTTTGTAAAGATTGGATCAGCCTTATGACACCAAATATCTAACCTGGCATTGTATGCATTATCTCTTCCCTCATGAAACAATGTAGGATCCTCAAATTTCAATGTTATAAGCAATTCGACGGCCCCGTTTTGAATTATCTTTTCATATCTCACACTTCGATTGCATGTGAGCATTTGGGTATACACACCATGTGATTCTGACTTGTATGAAAGTTTTATGCATTTTCTTCTTGCCTTTAAAGTCAAAAAACCTAAGGCCATTGTTCCAGTTATAATATGAATACACACTTTGAACATCGATCTGTGTAACTGACACATGTGATTTATCAAGGCTTGATTCACCTTCAAGACGATCAAATGAAAAATACGTATTTGCATCATGCTCATTGGGATAATTTTGGACTCAGTTCAAATTTTCGGCCTGTGAAAAATTTACATCTCGACAAACTGGTTCTCTGACTGCTTTGGACAGACGTGGTATGCCTTTTGGTTCATCATGCCATCGACTGGGGATTCTACTCAACATACATAGTTTGTGAAAATATTCAACATCTGATACAATCACATCAGAAATGTGGCTAGAATTTGACGCATTCAGAACATACTTGTCACATTCAATAGGGATTTCACTAGAAATAAATCCATTGTGAGGACAAATGACATCTAATGTGATACCGTCAGAACGTGACTAGCCTCGTCATGGTATTTACTTATGATCGTAATATATCGAAAGAGAGAAATACTGTGAACCATACGTTAAAAGCAATCTTACAAACAGGCATAACTCAATACATACAACCGAAGTATATCTTTAACCTTATATAAAAACTATTCCCCAGCTGGATAAATTACCACACGGTATACTCCCCTTTCAAAGCACATCAATATGTAGTTACCTGAATAAATGCCCGAATTAAATTCACTTTAATAAGTACGCACGAATGTTGAAAATCTCCACTGTGTGAAATTGGGACAACGAAAATAAACACATCGATGTCTTATGCGATAGACAAGTCATCGTAAAAGCAATAGTTTACGAAATCAGTCATTCTGATCGCCACTTTCTGGTTAACCGATAGTGCCTGCTGAGATAAAAGTTGAGCTATCTAGCTTTACTAAATTACCAGTCCAGTTGTTCCTGTGAAAATAACTATATCTGGTGTATTCTAGATATATAAGCCAGAGTTAGCCAGTAATCCCTATTGTGACAAATGTCAAGTTTCTCTAGTCCTTGATGTTGATCGAATTATATCGATCACGCTATTAGATTATTGGGAGTAATCGACTGGAAGCCCTACAGAAGATCAGATACAAACAGAATGGTTCACTGGCAACACCTCAGGCTATGAAGGTGGATGGTACAAGATCAGATCTACCAGAAAGCGTCAGCTCCCTCAAGACTATAGGTATACTCAAATTTATTTTATCACATTTGGTCGATAGTGACCATATGATAGATAGGACTGAAACGTTCAGGGCCATTAATAGTATTTTTCCACACTTTTCCAATAGGATTAGATTACTTTGCTTACATCCTGGGCAAGCTATAAAAATTTAAGCCGACAATCCTTATTATTTGCAATCAAAAAACATTCATTATAATTTTATCTTTATCCAGATCAGAAAAAACATGATAAAAGATCCTACCAGTTGTTCACAACTATTGAACAGCTGTTTCAACCTAGTATGAGACAACTCAGAGGTGTGCACGTGTGACATCATACAATGAAGTGAGTACATTTCCTATGTCAAAATTCTTATATGCCGAAGAGAATAATGAATGGTAACTGTTGGGATCCATTTATGTAACAATTATATATATATATATGAAGTTATAAACAATTGGGCAGAGCCGTGTAGGTCGGCGCATATCATTTGGTAGGAGGTCGCATGACTGTTGCAACCAGTGGTTAGAGACTTTTGATCGCATAGCTTAGAATCGTCCGCAATGACCCAGGTGAATCCACTAGTTGTCCTCTCTTAAATCTCAAATTTTTTAATTACCTTATGAAACCTTTTTAGACATTCATATTTACTTCTTCAACCATATCTTCTTTTTCTACTATCATTGATATTGTTACTATATCTACTACGCTGATAGATGACTTAATAATTTCATCTCACTATGCTAAGGGAATGTGTCAGATTGAACCAATACACATACATCCCAAGGTCCTACGTTGTATATGACTGGTTTATTTGAACTGCAAATCTATTTCTTTATTACACAACCATGTATATTAAAGTGAAACAAGAAAGAAGCCAATGGAAAACTGTTATCGTTGCAATTCTATATCGTTCTGAACAATAAGATCAAGTATATAATACCAAAAGAAAAAATTAACGATAATAATTTCACCTTGTTTATCGCATCGTAATAAATAATCATTACTATTTGAATGAATCGCATTAAGAGAACTGACAACATTATTATGATTATCATCATCATCATCACCAAACTGATGTACATGAATACTACTGTTGACAGTTGATTCCAACGGTAGACGATAACGACATAATAAATCCACAAGACGATTACCATAAGAATTGGCGATTGTTGTTATCGCTTTGAAATATGGCAAATTGGAACAAGCAGCTGAATCGTCGGCTAAGTCAGACGGCAACTAATATAAAGATTTTTGGAGATTCAATTTCAGTAAAACAGACAAACAGTAAAAAATATCCAAGTATGTACAGATTACAAATGTTATGAGAATAATTTACAAGTCATGTAAACGTACATTACAAGAACTAGTCAATCTATAAGATTTGGTAACACGTAAGCAATACGTAAAACCATCATCTTTTATCAAAATAGATAATGATTAGTAGTGAAAACTAAAACGACTGTTCTATCCTATATAGGATTTTTCAACTGAACACACCTGCACCAGTGTCGATGTCCACATAGAGATTCGAATACAGTAACTTTCTCTTTAACACCTAACCCCTTATTAACAGCATAATTGAGTACAGATAGCCACTACCATGTTCAGAAGGTATGATTTTAATAGAATCATTAGCGAGAGTGAAAACATTCCTTACTGACAAATGTTTCCTTTTTTTAACTGAGATTTCAGAAAAATAGATGATTAACAATCTATCTAGAACGATATAAATCTCCAAATGAGTGGAGAGAACTAATAATTACTCACCATTCTTAGACTGAATATTAGCATAAATCAATACTGAAGTCCCAACTAACATTTGACGAACATGAAATATATGTTACATATGTGTAACATATTCTTTTCACTCTTGTCAAACTCGATAATAGTTTAAGAGCCAAGTTCCGTGAGTTATGCTCCCACATGCCCTGGCAGGGCCAAGGGTGAGGAGAGTCCGCTCTCCCTCTCGAAATACACTCACATGGCCACGTGTATACAGTCACTGTCAGAGTAGTCATAATCACTGCCTTCTCGCAGTGAGGGCGTTGTTTACGAAAATGAGACGACGAAAAGCGAATGTCAGACGATTTAACCGGGCTGGTGGACACGGAGGGTCCACCTATACAGCAGCTGGCCTATGGTGGAAACCCTGTCTTATTTAAGCGGTCCAGAGTCACTGACTGGTTGAAAGTTGAATGCTACCACCGAATACGAATACTGAGTCTTTCTAAAACCACGTATACCATTCAAACTGGCTTCCTTCAACATTCGCACACTAATGCAGATCACACAACAGATAGGGTTAGCCATGTCTTTAGAAAGTCTTATTATCGACGTCTGTTGTCTATCCGAGACCCGTAGTCAAAAATCTGGTGATGTACTACAAATTCTCATTCCATCTGTCGCTTCTAAAAGCTTGTTTTAAGTGCGTTTATCCGGGGACCCAGTGGCATCTTCGTCTGGTTTTACTGGTGGCGCACTAAGCGCTAGTGCTGAGGCAGCACTGATCGACTGAATCCCTATTAACAGTCGGTTATGTGCTGTTGGGTTAGAAAGTTCCATCAAAGTGCGGAGAAATCGGTGTGGGAAACGATGTCTTTTCGTCATCTATACCCGTGCTCTGACAGATTACAGCCCAGATGCGATCAATGATGAGCTTTACCACCAGTTACCGGTCCTTCTACAGAAAATGCATTCGACGGATAATGTAGTACTAGCTGGAGACTTGAATGCTTAGGTTGGGTGTCTAGGCAAAGGAGAGTCGTTTAGGTGGACGATGGGGGTTGTTGGTCACAGGTCTACTGTGACTGTGCGCAAACTACAACCTGTTTCTGGCTAGCAACACAGTCACCGCCGATGTGCCATCTGGAGTCTTCCCTCTGCATCTAAAGCCTGAACTCAGATTGATCATATCGCGGTCAGTTACCGCTGGCGTGGTTGTGTACAAAACTGTCGCTCCTTTTGGAGTGCATATCTAAACTCTGATCATACCCTTGTTTGCGAGAATCTCATCTTACGTCCCAACGGCTGTTGCTACATTGACGTGGTGGTCGGGCTTGCCTATCGTGATGAAGCAACCGAGCAATACTGACTGGAACAATCGTTCTTCAAGGTCCTACCATGTCAGACAGATCGGTTGAAGAGCGGTAAGACTAAAAGCAACAAACCCAAGGTCCGATGGCGAAGTCGTACCGCTGACTGTACAGAGGTGTGACAGCAGTAAAGTGTTTCCTTCAGACAACCAGCATGACAGCGATGTTGCCTTTCCACAAGGAGGGGTGGGATTAGAAAAGGTCGACTTTAAAAATGAACACCTCGCCTTATCCCAGAGATATCCGTCCCCGGCGGTAAGGTCTCAACAAGTACGGAGCTAACACAAAAATTATCCATAAAAACATCGCGTGTGACCGACCTCAAGCAGTTGTCCCTTGGCCACTGTAGTCACGCTCTCGGGTCACTAAGACCACCTCTAATCCAATTTCCTTTTCAGGTACCTCTAGAACAACCCTTTCACGGTGTGGACAACCGGGAAGTGATAACCGCCCTCATACCTCTAACAGAACTCAGAACCACTGGATTCATAATCAACCTCCGTCTTCACTTCCTATTATTCCTCCTACATCGACTTTCACCTCTAAACTTCCTTTTTCGCCTTACCCCTCAAGTGTCACCATAGCCAACGATTCTAGTGCTCAAAACACTGTCCCAAGTCTACTGAAACCTCGCTCCAAACTACACATTGGAGCCTTCAACGTACGCACCCTATGTCAAATCGGTCAACAGGCCTCCTTGGATAGAACCCTAGGATATCGTACCATTGATGTATGCTGTGTCTCTGAAACACGCATACAGAATCCCAGTGTCGTCACTCACTTGACCTCACCTCGGCAAAACGGAGAGCCAACACCCTCCGTGTATCTGGTGACCCGACGGCCAGCTCTCGTGGACTGGCAGGAGTAGGGATAGCACTAAGCATGAGGGCGGAACAAGCACTGTTAGAGTGGATCCCCGTTAACAGTCGTTTATGTGCTGTTCGGTTAAACGGCTCAGTAAGAACTCGGAAGGGTAGGGACACACGTCGTTGCCTTTTTGTCGTTTCTGCCTACGCTCTTATTGACTGCATCTCAGATGAAATGAAAGATGAATTTTATAGAAAGCTATCTGAACTTCTTCAGAAAGCTAAACGTTCAGACATAGTACTCATAGCAGGTGACTTTAATGCCCAGATAGGTAGTTTAAACAAAACAGAAAGGCATTTAGGTGGGTATTTTAGTATTCCGACACAGCGAACAGATAATGGTGATCGTCTGCTGCAACTGTGCTCAGACAATCGTTTATTTTTAGCAAACACAAATTTTAAGCATAAGGAGAGACATCGTCTAACATGGCGACCCCCTACACCAAACCAGCGATGGACTCAATGAGACCATATTGCCATCAGTCATCGTTGGAGAGGGTCGGTAGAAGATTGTCGCTCATTCTGCAGTACCTGTTTGGAATCCGACCACGCCCTAATACGGGCACGCATCTGCTTGCGCTTCACTGGACGCAAAAAAGCCACATTAAAAAGACACATTAGAACTGAATTGAGTAACGAGAAAACCAAAAGTAGGTTCCAGGAACAACTGAGGTCACACTTAGGTAGTTCTGAAAACGACGCTGACCCAGATGTTGCTTGGAAAGGCATACAATCAGCTGTGGAAACAGCAGTAACATCTATTAGTGACTTAAACCACAGAGTTACAAAGAACCAGTGGACTTCTTCAAGGTCTATCACACTGATGGATTCTCGCAGACTCGTCCCATCAGGTTCGGAACATGATGAAGAGCGACAACAAATCAGATCTAGGTTAAGAAAAAGTCTAAGAAACGACCGTGAGCAGTGGTGGGCAACGAAAGCAAAAGAGATGGAAAAGGCGGTGGCTATAGGGAACACAAGACAGCTCTACAGACTAATAAAAGAAACTAGAATTAATAAGTCAAGTGTAAATGAGATTATTTCGGAAAAAGACGACACTCATCTACTCCAAGTCCAGAAGTTTAAAACGATGGGCGGAACATTTCAGAGAACAGTCCAGCTGACTTTCAGCTACTCTACAACTACCCAGCATTCTCAGACAGTGTGAATGAAACATTGAAGTAGGTCCACCAACTCTAGCTGAAGTTCAAAAGGCTATAGTTAATCTGAAACGAGGAAGGGCAGCTGGTCCAGATGGATTGGCTCCATAGGTCTTTAAGGATGGTGGTCCAATTTTAGCGATTAGGTTGACTAATATTTTAGCTAAGATTTGCGAGTTAGACGTTATTCCATCTGACTGGTCACAATCACTTATCGTCCCAATATATACGAAAGGATCAAAATCATCCTGTGACAACCACAGAGGGATTAATTTAACTAATATAGTATCTAAAATACTAGCCTTGATAATTATCAGACGCCTAACTAAAACTCGTGAACTGCAAACACGAGAGAATCAAGCTAGCTTCAGACCTGGTCATGGCTGCATCGACTACATATTCACCATTCGTCAGGTTCTAGAACATAAGCATACTTATCGGCGTCCGACAATGGTGGTCTTTCTTGACTTAAAAGCAGCATTTGACTCTGTAGACCGCGAGATTCTGTGGCAGTGTCTGTCATTGAAAGGCGTACCCCAGAAGTACATAAACCTTGTAAAGGCTCTTTACTCGAACACTACTAGTCGAGTCAGAGCTTATGACGAACTGTCATCTACTTTTGCAACCTCAAGTGGTGTCCGTCAAGGCTGTCCACTTTCTCCATTTTTTTTAACTTCATCATAGACCTATTGATGGAAATAACATTCTCGTCGACTGAATTCTCGGGTATTGACCTTCTTCCAGGAGGTCCACTTATCGACTTAGAATACGCAGATGACATGGTCCGGTTTGGTGAAGACGCTGACAAAATGCAGTCTCCTGGTAGCACTAAGCAACAATGCCAGAATGTTTGAAATGAGCTTCTCTCCCTCTAAATGCAGGTTGTTGCTTCAGGACTGGTCTGCGTCAACACCTGAACTAAGGATAGGGAGTGAAGTAGTCGAACGCGTTGACAACTTCACTTATCTTGGAAGTCTGATCAGCCCTAATGGGTTGGTATCGGACGAAATCTCAGCACGGATTCGAAAACCTCGCTTGGCTTTTGACAACTTATGTCACCTATGGCGAAGGCGAGATATCCGTCTATCAATAAAAAGACGAGTATACTGCGCGGCAGTCCGTTCTGTTTTAATTTACGGCAGCGAAATATGGCCACTAAGAGTAGAAGACACTCGTAAGTTGCTAGTATTTGATCACAGATGCCTCAGAAATATTGCTCACATCTGCTGGGATCACCAGGTAAGTAATAGTGAGGTTAGACATAGGGTATTAGGGAATGGTGGTAAATCAGTTGATGAGGTTGTTAATCTTCATCGACTGAGATGGTTGGGCCACGTGTTACGTATGCCTGAACACCGATTACCACGTCGTGCAATGCTAACGGGTGTTAGAGATGGATGGAAGAGAATTAGGGGCGGCAAAACCAAACGTAGCATCAGTACTTCAAGTCACTAACTTCTAGTCTGAGCCATGTTGATAGATGCAGACTACTTGGTTGGGGTCCGCGTGACTATCGTAACCAATGGTTGAAGACTCTTGGTGACATAGCTCAGAATCAATAACAATGACGTCGGTGTATACACTCTGTCTTCTTTTAAACTAAGAGATTAAAATCGCTTCACATCTTTCTTTCTACGAACTGATTCTTTCTTCCTGTACTATATCCTTATTGCAATCTTTCTTTTATACATTACCACCTCTGAATTAACTACTTTTATGAATCCGGCGTCCATCTTTTTGTGTTGATGAGGTATGGCAACTTGAACCGATGCATATATGTGCCTGGTCCTACGCTGTAGCTGACTGACTGACCTTACGTTCCAGTGGCCAACAAACTCATCGTCCTGGACCGATCGGTGTCAACAAATTGGTTGCAGCTTCTGTTGCAACTAAATATCAAACGGAGCTAAGTTCAAGGTTAGCTACCATCCCATCAGAAAGTGTAGATGAGCATTGGTTGCAGTTGCATGACGCCATGAAAGTGGCGGGTAGAGTCGCTTGTAGCCTCGCAAAACGTCCCGCTTATAAGCACTGGGTTTCCTCAGGCTCCTTACAACCGGTTGAAGCCCGTCGGTTTACGCCGGGTGACCGCGAGTTTGACTACAAACGAAGACTTACGCAATGAAGTTGGACAAAGCTTGCATAAGAACTGAGAATCCTGGTGGTCGGAGCATGCCCATGATTTGAAAGCAGCAGCTGCATCTGCTAATTGTATATTTATTACCCAAATATAAATCCAAGTGTATGGCTTAAGTGATTTTGTTGAAAATAAAATTTTATTCCTTGAATTTTCTTGGTTTTAATAGAATTTACATACGAATCTCCTAACATCATGATGATTCTAATAGATCCGATTGATTGAAAATGGAATTACTTGAGTGTTTTGATTTCAGCCTGATCGGAGGATGCAAGAAGACAGGGATATCTATCCTAGCTATGGTTTTGCGACTGCGAAAATCTCGTTAAAGAACCAAGTAAATAGAAAAGAGGTGACATCAAGTGTAAATTAATGACACATCACCCCTGTTCATAATATTACTACAAGATATGTACTATAAATAACAACAAAAGGACTTACCGACTCAAAATGAGTCGTCTCTTTTTGACACATTCTAACTAGACGTTGTTTTCCTGGGACATCAGGAATAGTGTTATTGATATGATCAACTAATTCTTTCAGTTCAAGGATAACCGATGAACTACTTTTCTTCTTTTCCATAATACTTTACTGACCATGCAAAACGTTTGCGATGCTTATCAATGGAATGGTCTTCAAATTAACAAGTTTCATTTATGGAGAAAAGGTATAACCTGTAAACAGGGTAAAGAATGAAATCCTATCAATGTACACATCTAACTTTATTCGACTGCATGACACTCGAAGGCATAAAATAAAACGATAAAAATTGCTGTGGTCAGAAAAGTTGAATACCAATAAAAACTAAGACTACTTCCAAACTACTTCTATTGCTTAATAAAAAACCGCAAAATAGATTTTGTATATAGAAAATATAGTGAGACGAAACTAGTGTTTAAACAAGTAGGATTTTTGCTTAATAACTGAAACACTTCTTTCAGAACATAAACATTTTGACACATGTGTCATATTTGCAAATATGCCAAAAAAATGTACATAAAATGTGGAGTGATAATATTGTGAGAAAATAGAAAAGTTCGAGTAATGAATGAACAAAGCTAGCATCCAATAAATAGTACAGTTCAGTCTCAAAAACTACACAATTAGAATATGTATCTTGGTTGGGAAAATAGATATATTAAATAGGTTCAAAAGCAACCCACGGATTGCTATGGATCTTTGTTTTGACCTGTCCCTGACAATGCGTAAAACATGATTTTTAGGGACTCAACAAAGAATTTATGGTGAGATGATAGATCCAAGACAAGGAGAGCCGTCATATCACCGCGCTATGTTATAAACAGACTGACTGTCGGTTTTTTAACTCAGTCGTACAGTCAAAATATAATATGTGGTATATAATTCATACGTTGAAGATAGATATGGAGACAGAAAATCTTTTTTTTAATTACGTAATTGAGGATCAACAGCTCTTAGTTATAGTTGCAACTGTAACTGCCTTACATGTAAGGTAGTTTCGTAGTATTCTACATTATGCTGGAATATTGGGAAAACCTAACAACTATAATGAAACAATGGACAGTAACATGTCACCAAGAGATGACTTAATTCCTTCAACTACTTGTAGTCAGATACAAACAAACGACTTTACTTAGCAAATATTAGCTCCACATGGTAGCGCAACCTCATATAGGGCGCTTTTAAAATGCTCAAATGACTCTGAAAAGAATAGAAGAAGCTTTCGTTTAACGGGCTTCCGTTTTTAAAAAAACAGTGGATCACAGATGCTGCCAGGTTGGAACCTAGGTATGTCTAACAATAAAGGTAACTATAAAGATATAAATAAACGATAGAGAGATAATGCCCTCAGTCCTAGAGAATATGCCAAGTTTTCTCTTAAAGGACTCCTGCGAAGTCGCTTGAACTGGTTCATCTGGCAGCAAATTTCGGCATCCGACTACTCTTAAGGAGTAGAAGATGTGCCTGCAGTCCATTCTGCTATGCTGTGGCTCTGGTTTCTGAACATTGCCCCCAAGGTTTGTGCTGGTACTTAGATTAAGTAGGTATTTATTGGGATGTCCAAAAGTGTTGAGGATGCTGTACGTCATTAGAAGATCATTTCAAGACGCCTATATTCTGGTGGGTAGATTTTCAGTGATTTGAGGTGTCCTTCATAAGGCTTGGATTTGAGCTTTAGAACTGATTTGGTGACACGCGTTGAACTTCTCCCGATATATCCTTATACTTTTGACAAGAGGGAGGTGTAGAGGTAAATAAATCACCAAAATGAATTGTTCTGTGTGTCTTAGACACTTGATACTGGCCGCATTATTATTGCTGGACACATCTAACTGAAGGCGCTTGGTCACACATTCGCACCAGATCACGAATGGGTATACCATGCTACACATCCCTTACAATCGTTAACCAGCTTAGATTAAACAATTCTCGATATACCAATAGCTTTCTTAATATATCTTTGAACCCCCCATTACTGACTTAAAATTTGACTGAGTTAGTATACTATGATTATAAAGGTGTTAGATGTAAAGGTGTTGTCAAACTCCGAACACCTATGGCATCTTTATATATATTTCGTTTATCATAAGCTTGTAACAACTTAGGTTTATTAGTTAAGAGTTGATCTCAAGCAACTAATTATATGTCAGAACAACGATGCTCAAGCATTCATTCACTTCCTTATTTCGTATAGGCATTATATTTCCTATTATCTTATATTAATGTTGGAAAGCTTTGTGTGTATCAATAGGTAACCTCCCGCTCCACTATGATTGTACCACGATCTAAATAAACGCCTTTGCACTACTAGTTTGGCTTCTTTTATCAATAGGACGAGGGTTACTTTCAGGCACGAAAGGCTTTCTATTGCTTCATTACCAACGTTATACGATCTACTGTTCTTAGTTTATTACCAATCTATTATTCACGGTCTTCTCTACATTCAACCACTATTTGGCTTGACCATGTAGAGCCGTTATTTTTATTTTATAGTGTGATGGTATGTTTATATTTAATCTAAATCTGCCTGAATTATAATAAAGACCATGGATAAATGACCATAGGTCTTACGCTCCTTCTTTTAGTTTGCATTGGGTCAATCATCAAACCTGGAGTGGTAGTCTTATTGTCCATGTGGTGTATTGGTTATTTAACTTGGTCAATACACATCAGTAGGAGCTAGGCCATGACAGTTTACTTCATCTTTTATCACAACGATTTTTTAAATAGGCCTTCATCCTTGAGTCATTAGTTATTTCGTGACGGACTCTTTCGACTTCCCACTTTTACGCTCGCCTTTAGGCTGGAATAGTGTTCCTCCTCTTCTGCTATGTTGTTGGTAGCGGAAATGATACCATAAAATTTAGTTGTGGTTAGGGGGAGATAAAAGTACTTGTAGAACTTGCGTTGTCATACTGGTCGGCATGAATGATAAGTACAGTATATGTTCTGTATAAATTCACAAATTCCAGAGCCAATGAGTGATTATCTACCTAATCTAGTCATTTTAGGAAGTATTTTTCAATTAACGCAATACGTTTCTCACATTCTGGCGCATTTCATAGGGTTTTGTAAAGTAAATGTCTATGATTAAGTATGAAAAGCTGACTCTCATATTAAAAAACATGGCTGCCTTATTTTATAAGTATGTTTTTCACAATTTTACGGGCACAGCATCTTTTAAATTTTCGAAGATCCTACTGCGGTGTTGACCGTCAGTACTACCATTCAACAGTCCCAGTATTTTCGTTCACTATGATTCTCATTTGGTCAGCATGGTGCAGAACCATTTTTAGGAACGAGATCCATGCAAATCATCAGAGCTGACATCAAACCCCATAAGTTCATGAAAGCAGTCATTGACTTCGTACCAAAACTCGCTAGACGCAATTTAAACCTCGTCACACAAGCGAGACGATAACAATGAACACTAAATTATTTCAGAGTACCTGAAAAAAGAGTGTCTCCAAGATCAATACCGGTTGATTATGGATTCGATTCTGTAAGACTCATTGATAATGCCGTTTCCCAATCTATCCCGGGAGAAAGCTCTAGTTTTTAATATCAAGCGTCAAGACAATTTTACGAAAACGGATACACGTTATCGTGTATACACATAAACTCACATACTTGGCACATATGTAAACTACTTCTCGACCTGTCCATTCCTCCCTCCATATTTTGATAATTGTGCATAAAGATGAAGTCCAAAACATCGGGTCATAAACCGGACTGATATGCCAATTTTCCACCAACAGATTCGGGTTTGATTTTCTATTCAAACTTGTGTATTGAGGTATAAAGACCTAAGTCATGTATTCGTTCCTTTCCCGTAAGCTTCTGTGACTGTCTAGTCTTTAATCGTAGAGGGGGTCAACACCTCTCCGGGCAACAAGTTTCAAGGATTGATGACTCGATATGAAAGTCTGTATGCCACGTATATCGTTTCGTTTTTGACTTTTCTGTCCCTGTGCTATGCCCTCTCAGTTATTTTGATCTGGTAAGAAGAAAACGAGGGGTTCGGAATCACTCCTTGCTATTCTATATATCAAAATCAGATGACCTAATCTGCTGTAGGACAGGGAAAAGAGATCTAGCTTCTCAGGCCGTTCTGTGTAAGGTTAACATCGGAGTTACACAAGTAACTACCCTCTGTATCTTTTTCATGTTATTTGAGTCACCTTGAACAGGAGCTTGCGGTATGGACGGAGGTTTCAGGTTTTGATCTCACTACAGTTGCGTATTGTCATCATCCAGGCATTCCATGTAGCTTTATAAAATGTCACTTTGGTTGTTAGAGGGAGCTTAGGTCTCATGACATCCGAAGAATCTCGACTTTGTCTATGAGGCGTTGTAATTCTTCTGAATGAAAATCTTTCAACTTTGAGCGCAGATTTTAAATGCTTCAAATAGTTTATTCTGGTGAGCGTTTGTTTGCCAATCCTGTATTGTAGGAGGTAGAGTCATTGACACCATTTTTAATACTTCACCTTCACTCTAAATTGGGACCAGCAGCAACCCTGGAAGAGCAACTGGCAAAGAAGCTCCGGAAGTTGTGGAAACATTCACATACCTGGTCAGTGTCATCGAAAAACAACAAGGAGGATCAAATGCTGACGTAAAGGCAAGGATCAGTAGATTATTTGCACGGTTGAACAACATATGGAACTCAAAACAACTGTCAATTAACATCAATGTCAGAATCACCAATACAAATGTCACAACAGTCCTATGGTACGAAGCTAAAATTTCGAGAACTGTAGTGGCATTGGACCATAACCACACAATCCTCAAAGCTGAATACGAGATTACTCGGAAAATAGATATTCAATATTTAACGCGAAAAAATACATAACGATGGAGAAGGCGCGGATAATGAATTGAATGATTTAGAGTTGATCGAATGGTATGGCTCGGTCATGCAGACGTGGTCCCTGCTGAATATTACCTCACATCTTTTATTCATACTAAATATATTGTTCTTCTCTAGCCTAAGTTCGTTCTTCATCATGTATTGGTAGTTGTTACGATACAGTGAGTTGCTGTAGACGATGACGTGACTTCCACGTAAGATCTTATAGATTAGGCAGTTATATCATGACAAATCTACAATTTTAGGATTAGGTCTATTATTAGAGCAGTACTAATATCATAGTAGACCATAATTCTACAGAACTACTACAACGATCACCAAGAAAGAACAAGTATTTGTATGCAGCTGTCTACACAAGATACACAATGTCCGCTGACCGAAACCATCATCAACAACGTACTGTGGGAGTAAATAAACCAGCTTTGAAATGAATATGAAATTGCCTGATGACGTTAGAAGTGGAAAGAACATATATTGAGGAACTTATTAGACTGCATCATAAAACAAGCGCTAACTTGGTATTCAGAAGGAAAACGGAAAAGATGACCAAGTAACCCTTTGCGTCGAGAATCTGGAGTGGACTTCAAATGGTTGAATAGTAAGTGGAAACAATCGAGAAGGATTGTTCAGAACAGAGCTTGATAAAAAATACTGCTCGGCGGCCTATGCTCCTCCTCAAGGGTTAACAGGCATGAGCAATTAAGGGTTATGTATACTAGACCAGCTAAGCAGAACATATAAGTACGAGTGAAATATTACTGCATCTAGAACCCATCCTTATTGCTCACCTGATTTTTTCACCATTAGCGTAACATGGTATTAAGGACTCGACTATGCTTGGGAATTTATTTGCATACAGTGAAGAACCTAGAGCAGAGCTTTATGGCACTTCACATATTACTACTATCCATTAGGAGCAATTGGAATTTACTCTTACTTTCTGACCACGACCTACAACGAAATAAATAATTTATTGAAGGTGAGGTTCGTCAATCGCCAGATTTTCCAGTCTCAAGAAGAGTCTATTATCCGGCACCTTATCAAATATTTTCCACGGTCTACGCAGTCAGCACCAACTGATTTTCGACCCTGTCAATTTTTTTTAGATATGTGGAGGTTTATTGTACATGACAACCATTTTCTGAAACCATATTGTTCGCTGTTTAGCAGGTTATTTGTTTCCAAAAATGTCATTCATGACTTTTTGATTATTCTTTACTGTATTTAAAACAAGATACTGGTGGGGCTGATAAGTTTGTAATTTGATGGAAGTTGTCTTAATCCTGTTTTAGGAATTGCACTTTTCCAGTTCATAGGTAACTCAATTTGACCGTATTCAGCAATATAGCAAACGATTTGTCTCAGGATTTTAGAGTGTAAATCATCAGTTGATTCTCCCGTGTCTAAACTGCTGTGTGCTTTTAGTACGTTGTTTCGGTGAAAGTTCTCAGTGAGCATCCGATTTTGTGACCCTGTATCTGGGTCCAAACTTTCGTCTGAAAGAGGCTTCCGAATGAAAACTATCCTCTACTTTGTCCTCTTCTCCCTCTGTCATTTGAGATGTACTCCGTTTTGTAATGAGGTTTTAATTTAATGGTGTGTTCTATTCTGTAATTTGTGTACCAGGACAGTCTTCTCGGCTATTTGACTACAGATTTTGCAGAATGCTTATCATATAATCGCCGAACTGCTCGGATTTTGTTTATACATCTATTTCGGACGGACCTGTAGCGCTTCATTGTACTTGGTCTGCCGTGTCCACCATGTTCATTCATGTCAACAAGTCTTTATATATGTGAAGACAGCAACTACAGGCAGTATTTTCAGGGAAGTACACAACAAATCTCATGTTATATTAGGAACGTGCTAAAAGTTTATGACAAATTATTAATCAGTTCAAAAACGAGGACTGTTACCTGATGACGCATGTATACAAAATTTTTAGTATGATCGAATCGTACTCAACACATTTTTTATACCTTTAAAAGGGTTGAATTTTGTTTTACTTTTTGAATTGCGTTGCGACCTTGAGTGCACTAATTAAAAAAGGTAAACTGTGCTACATTTGAAACTATTATCTTCCAGTTTTTCACTTCGTCTCTCGGTTTGCTTGTATAGTACGTTTGCACATTAGTAGCTACTGATTCTTGTATCTATTGATAATTTTGGTTTCATCTGGTGAGTTTATTAAGTAGTTGTTTATGGCTTAATACACTAATACACTTAAATCCTTTAGAAACACATCCCCAGGCAAAAAATAAATATACCGGCAACTAAAGTTGCAAAACACTTTAGAATCACACAAATTTGTGGCCTATTTTAATGATACCAACTGTAAAGGAACGTCAAGCTGGCGCTTATGATTTCAGAAAATATTATGAAAATCTGTGTGCGCTGCGAAATTGCTCCCCTCTCTCTGCGATCACAAGCCATGTTGATAATGGAGTTCTTGATATAAGTGCAGATAGAATAAAGTGAGACAAAGTTTGTTTATTCACAACTACCTAAAGGATTCAAGAGTGGGATCCAGTTTTTGATGCTATTAGAATCAATAAAAGCCTGCATTTTATTGCAGTCAGAAGTTTCTATCAGTATAATAGTGTTTCAGGTGAGCATTCATTTTCGAATTATCTGTTTGATCTATTGTTTTTCTATTTCCTGCTTGTTAGTTCTATATTTATTTTTAATTAAGGGGTGTTAAAATGGCTTTCGGCATTTTACATACTCTTATGTAGTTTACCCAACGGTGTGTAGTTGAATTCAGTCGTTTAAGAGTAGTCACTTCTTTACTGTACAGCTCGATGCCGACTTGCTGAGTTTCAATAACTAGATTTTGTCAATATCTACTAGAGTGATCCGGTCCTGTTACTTCTAGTAAAAGCTGCACACTCTGAAATAACTGTTGAAAGGTTGTAGACGTATTGTTTGTATCACTTCATAGTCATATGTGAAGGATATCCTTTACGTACGTCTTCACTTCCTAACAATTTCATGTTGCCCAAATGATTGATGACAATATTCCTGATGACTACCAGGAAGTTTGAGCTTGGTATTGATCACTTCAACCATATTAAACTCAAAGCAACCCCTTCAAGGTATTAAAACGTTAGATATTAACCTTAATGAAGCATTTCAATCTAGTGTGAAAGGCAATTAACTTCTAAATTAATCTCATTTGCTTTTATAGTTTTCAAATCAAATTTGTTGTACAGGACACTGTCATGCTAACTACAAGTCTGAGAAATGATTGACTTCGAACCATATTTCAGAACACTAATATTAGAAGTAACGCCGTTGTGGTATTTGTACAAACTAATTGTTCCTTTGTACTTGATTGTTCATGGATTACAAAGTCCATACATAATACGTTTATTTGTGTTCATCTATTTTTACCTAACTCCGCCTGTAGCGCTTCTAGAATTACTTCCGGTCTCAAGCCCAAATAAAGGAGGAGGGTCGGGCATGGGGTCGGCAATCCCATACCGTAAAGGAACTTTTGCTAAAAGACTCCAACCTGAATAAATAAATTAAACCACCAAAGCTCTGCTCTGGTTGTTGGGGGAAGAATTATAACGCCTCATGGTAAAAGGTGAAATTCTTTGGAAGTCACGAGGTCGATACACCTTCTAACAACCAGAGCAACAATTAATACAGGTACATACGATGTTCGGACAATGTAAAAGACCGGGGGAAAAAGTCAAATAACTACGGAAATGAGGGGATACAATTTGATAGTATTCGGAATCATCAAAACCCATTAGAACTAATCTGGACAGAAAAAAATTAGGTTCGGGAGAGATGCTGCAGTACTTTGGTCACGTGGAGGAAAGTGCTTCACACACTTAGGGAGTTACTCTGATGCAGTTCAAAGAAGTACAAAATGCACTTGTTGGGTGAGAATCTCATAGATCCAAGATCATGAAAGCATCTTTCAAAACAAAGAAGTAGGGAATCACAATCAATGTTATTCGGTGTTATGCACCCACCAATGATAGCAACGAAGACGATAAAGATCAGTTCTACTCGAGGCTGAAATCAGTTATAGCGAAGTGCCCAAGAAAAAATCTCATCATCATGCTGGGAGACCTGAACGCTAAAGTCGGAATGGACAACACCGGGTATGAAGATATCACTGCACGACATGGATTGGGAGAGCGAAACGAAAACGGGGAGAGATTCGCAAACCTATATGCCTTCAACAAATTGGTTATAGGTGGCAAAATATTCCCACACAAACGCATACACAAAGCCACATGGGTCTCACCGGATCACATCACCGAGAACCAGATCGATCATATTTGCACCAGTAAAAAAATTCAAAATGAAAATGAAAGACGTAAGAACCAGGAGAAGAGCTGACATAGCTTCAGATCATCATCTACCTGGTGGTCGCCAAAAGAAAACTAAAACTAAAAAGACGCTGGATAACCTTGGAAACAGCATTACAAAGGTTCAATACAGTCTTCCGACGAGATACTAACAAACTCAACGAACTCAAGATAACTCTCAACAACAGGTTCCAAGCCTTACACGATCTACTCAAAGAACAGGAAACTACTATAGAGAACAGCTGAAAAACGATCATAGAAGCATTAACCTCAACGTGTCAGGAAGTGCTGAGCCGCAAAAAGCATCATCATAAAGAATAGATCTCTTTCAAAACCGTGGGTAAGGTTCAAGAAAGCAAGAAGAAGACAGCAATTAACAACAGCCGAATAAGAACAGAGAATTCCAAGGCGTAAGCTGAATACTCAAAGCAAACAAGCGAGTGAAGAGGAGCATTAGAGCTGACAAAAAAATACGTTAGAGACCTAGAAATAAGAGTGGAAAAAGCTGCAACAGAAGGAAATATGAGACAGCTATATGACACAACAAAGAAAGTAGCAGGGAAATATAGCAAACCAGAAAGACCGATCAAGGACAAATAAAGCAAGTCAACTACCGAGATTTAAGAACAGAGAAACAGATGAGTAAAATACTTCGAAAAACTCTTGAATAGACCAGCTTTATTAAATCCACCGGACATAGAAGCAGCACGTACAAACCTTCCTATGAATGTCACTCCATCAACGATCGGAGAAATCAGAATAGCTATCAGACAAATCAAGAACAGAAAAGCAGTTGGACCTGACAATACACCAACTGGAGCGCTGACGTTAGACATAGAATTAACTGCAAGCATGCTCAACGTTTTATTCAGGAGGATTTGGGAAGAAGAAAAAGTGCCACAGACAGACTGGAAAGAAGGACACCTCATCAAGATACTAAAGAAAGGAGATCTAAGCAAATGTGAGAACTACAGAGGCATCACATTACCATCGGTATCAGGAAACGTTCTGAACAGTGTTGCTGAACCAGGTGAAAGACTCAGTAGATGCCCAACTTCGAGATCGACAGGCTGAATTCTGTAAGGATCAGTCGTGCACATACAATATTGCAACACTACGGATCTTTGTTGAGTGATCAATTGAGTAGAACGCGTCACTATACATCAACTTCACAGACTATGATAAAGCATAAGACAGTGTGGATAGAAGCTTATGGAAAATTTTTTGACACTGTGGTGTACCTGAGAAAATCGTCAACACCATCCAAAATTCATACGACTGACTACACCTCAAAGCTGTTCATGGAGTACAGTTGACAGGTGCATACCAAGTGAGGCCCAATGTCAGACAAGGCTGCTAACTCTACCTCTTTCTCTTTCTTCTGGTGATTGATTGGATTATGAAGACTTCCACATCTCAAGGGAAGCACGGCATACAGTGGACAGCTTGTGTGCAGCCAGACGATTCTGACTTCGCAGATGGCCTAGTTCCTCTATCCCGTACACACCAACACAGGTAGATGAAGACGACCAGTGTAGCAGCAGCAGTAGGTCTCTACATACATGAAGGAAGACCCGTAATCCCCGAGAACAACATGGAGAACACTAACCCAATCACACTCGATGGAAAAGCTATGGAAGCGGTGGAGACTTTTACATATTTTCTCAGCATCACCGATAAAGAAGTAGGATCTGATGCAGACGTAAAGTGGAGGATTAAATTAGCAAGAACAGCATTCCTACAGTTGAAGAACATACGGAACGCAAAACAACTGTCAGTCAATATCAAAGTCAAAATCTTTAATTCGAACGTCAAGACAGTCTTATTGTATGGAGCTGAAACTTCGAGAATTACCACAACCATCATTAAAAATGTACATGTATTTATAAACAAATGTCCACTCAAGATACTCATTATCCGTTGGTCGGATACCATCAGCAACAGCCTACTGTGAAAGAGAACAAACTCACTTCCAGCTGAAGAGGAAATTGGGAAAAGACGTTGGAAGTGGATAGGACATGCATTACAGAAATCACCAAACTTCATCATGAGGCAAGCGCTAACTTGGAATACTGAAGGGAAACGGGAAAGTGGTAGACCAAAGAACACTCTACGTCGGAAATTGAAAACAGACATGAAAAGGATAAATAGCAACTGGAAAAAATTGTCCAGGATAGGGTTGAATGGAGGGTGCCAGTAGGCGGCATATGCTCCTCCACGATGAGTAACAGGTGTAAATAAGTAAGTTCTACGTGCCTTAAATATCACTATTCCGGGAATTTTTAATTGGTATATAATTCAAGTACTTCTACTCATCATAGCTATATCACTCGTATACACATATTCATTCCAGTTAATAACTTTGCATTTCCTAATATTCAGGTCAACATCACCATTTTAGAGAAACTTACCTTCCATAAACCGCCGAGATAACACACAGGAAACTCTATCTTATAAGTCAACTCCTCAAATATTTAACTCTGTTGTTCAAGTTGAAAGCAACTTTTATCATCAGCTAACTCCAGATGAACTCCAGTGCTGATAGATCCCTAATGAGAATGAAGTAATTATTAAGTAATCATTGACTTTCATTGGTTTTCAACTCAGTATGTCACAAGTCTTTAGAAATAGATGAATTAGGGCCAGCAGTAGAATTTAGAACATGCTTTTCATCTTATTTGAGACTCGTCAGGTGTATATATTTCCATCCCACTGTTTACCTTTATGGTGGGACTATTTACAAACAAACTGAATGTGCTCCCTTCATTCTAATGATATCCTCAATTCATCTATTCTAAATCAACCTTGGTTGTTTTTATATCCTACTCATCACGTGTCTGTAACTTATTTTTGTCTGACTATAAATATCGATTCACGCTTGGCTATATTGAGTTTTCTCACTCGTATCCTTTCGTTTTGCTTCGCTTTCCGATCGACGATTGTACGAAATATACATATTCAAAAATCCGTCCTCGCATTTGACTTATTTAATTTCGTTATTCATCAACGCGAGTTAAGTCGATAATTATACACTAGGATTGGCGATATGTATATTTCGACAGCAGTCATTTCAATAACAATCATTCATACGATCTAATTGTAGTCAGATTTACGGCCACTAATGTAAGACAGTGTAAACTAAAAGTATATTTTTGTAATTATCTTTGAAACATCCCTCAAAAAAGTTGGGACTGTTAATTGAATAATACTGGAATTATAGGTACGTTATTAGGTAAAAATAGCCTGATTGAATAGAGTAGAAATCTTTGTCACCTAAAGTGGTTTAGGCATAATATTAACTATTCTTTGTCCATCGTCCATATCAGCATTCAGTGTAAATTGGGCTAGCAGTAGATTAAAGAGGATTTTTAAGTGAGTAGATAAAAACCAGGGATCAGTTTATAAAAGCTATTAACTGTCAATACAATGCATCTTGGTAAATCCAGACTTTTTAGTTTGGACCCACTCAATGATCATAATGTATAGTTAGAAACATTGAGTGACTATCGAAAATCCATCACTGGGATTCAGCTACTATTACTTTCTATCTTCCCTTAAATCTTTACTTTATTGCTTTTCCGTAATTTTCATCCTTTAATTTCATTTTGAAACTTTGTTACAAAGTTGATATTAACTCCTTTTTTGTGCTTTTCATTTTCTTAATTTTACTCTATCTCTTATCGTATTGCTGTGAAGTAATGACACCGTAAACTGACTACATATTTGTGCAGATGTCAATGTCTATAACTGAATGACCATATTATTTCAATCTCTTTCACTGTTCGTACAGGCTGTTTGTATCTTTTCTTTGATGTTATGGATTGTTATATTCCAGTTAATCTACTGGATGATCTAAACAACTAATACAAATGAACTAAACTTAACTCTATTGCACAAGCAATTGACTAATTGAACTAAATGGACAACACGTTAAACATTTGAAGCTAGTATTGGGTCCGAGTCCCGATGTGAACATTGGCACTAAGATGGAAGTACATCCGGCTGACAAGTTCCAAACAGGATGAAACACAGGTTCTATATTCCTCTTCTATCTAACATCAAACTCTTTTGCTATTCATCTTGAAATGCTAATATGGTACGGCAGCTTGTAACAATGCACACTTTACCAGGCTCTAAGTTGATTATGACTGACTGATAACATTACATACTTTTGTCAGACTAACACTAATTTTATTAAGATACATCTACAAATGTTATTGTTTTCCCATTATCTAGACAGTGCAACTTCAAACAATCGACGACGTCCACCAATTTTACTATCCAGTTCAAAACTTTTATTAAATTTATGCAAAGCATTACGTCACTGTGCATGTGTTACAGAAAAATTAACATTTTTAGAATTGCAAAATCTCCCACTCAGTAAAACAGGTTTATTACAAATTTGTGAAGTAAGTAGTATCGTTAGTTTTTCATTAAAAACAAAATTATTTACTATGATACATGTTTATTTTATGTTAATATTCTGTGTATAAACATAAGTGATTTTCTTAGTCAGTGGTCTTCTTGTTAACTTTAATTCACTTTAAGGCTTCAGTCAGTAATTCGTCCTCGCGATCTACCAATACCCGAACACACATCATATCATTGACTTTATCAATCGATCACCATTCCATTCATTGATTTCAACATTCGAAAGTTTCGTCTCATTATTAATTATTATTATTAATTTATGTAGAACATTTTTGCCTACTCAAAAATAATTAAGTAGCAAACTTTGAATGCAAATAAAATGGGTATGCTAGATACGAGCCGACAATTCATCAAATAATACATACATTCAACTCCATAATATTTGTATGCGATGAATTTATCCAGGAAAATCACTTCTAGAAAAAAGAACAGACTGAAAAAACAGAGGTTAAATTTCGATGACAGTATTTTGTAAATAGAAAGACGAAAAGATAATTACGATACACTCCTCTTATTAGACTAACAATATCAAACTCAACCATTAGTATGATGAATGACAAAGTGTTTTGCTCAAGTAAAATATTTTCAGAAAATTAACCGTTTAAGTATATATTTTTCATCGTTGAAATCGAATAGAGAAACATCGGGAGCATAGTAGTGTTGAACTATATTTCATCATATCCTAGGATTTTATAACACAGTTTACACCTCAGACTAAACACAAGCGAAGGAAATGAGTAAATACATCTGCACTATTACAGTAATTTCTGATCTATTTCAACAAAATCCTACAACTGTTGTTTATGATGATCATATAGGCTTCCAACAGGTAGTCTACACTTTGAAGCAGCATCTTTATGGAATACATATTCAACAATAAACAATACAAGTGATGATAAATTCTTTACTTTAAAGAGAATTCTTAATTAATAATATTTTGTAAAGCTTATGAAACTTGTTTGCTTTTTTTTCTGTGTAGGGCATTAGAAAAAATCGTACATTGAAACATTTGTCATTTGAAGGTTCTTCCATAAATGATGATGGTCTTGAAGGTAGGTTAAATGTTTAAACAAAACCATTGTGTAAATAGTCAATTTAGGATAGTTTTTGTTAAATATTAACAATGAATATTTTGTTTTAGTGCATTTATAAGATACATTCAAAATGTCATATGTGGTTAATGAAGTAAGTCATTTCTAATTTTAAAAAAACTTTGTCCGATAGGACTATGATGTGGGTTACTTATATTCACATAAGTAGTATAAGACGGTGGTCAGGCATAGAATGTATTTCAGTAGAAGTTCGAGAAGGAAAGAATGGGAACCGAATGCAATTGGTATGAAAATGCATGAACAATGAAATCTGAGACAATGGATTGATATTTTGCACATAAACTATTTACTATATGGTTTTCAGATTTTATCGAGGGGGGGGCGCCTCCGGGTGGGAGATAATCTGTAATTGCGTGTCTAATGCATTCGATTATCCCCACTCGTGTTCTTGTTCACTACAATGCTTTAACTCAAGTATTTTATCAATAATATTATCATTCATTAAACAAATATTCAATGTAAAAGAATTTCCCTATAATCAATCGGCGAGACTCTAATTTATGGACGAGTCAATCAGAAACGTCTTAGAGATTTCAAGGTTACGGTGACAAGTTCAGTGCTTAGTGCTAACGTTCGATCGGTTCACAGGGAATTTTGTACAAAACGTAATAATTGAGTGGCTATAACAAATAAAACGGCGAGACTATAATTTGTGGATGAACCAACGGGTATAAGATAACAGATCTCGGATTTTAACACGAAAGTCTTTCATCCATTTGGTTAAATAAATTTCTGGCATAATAGTTGATGTCAGTTCGTGAGGAAAATCTCATAATAAAAGCACCCGTAACACTAGTTGCAGCCAGGTACTACAATATATACGGATGTTTGGAGAGCGCACGGACTCCTACATGAGCTTGGTTATGTGCATCGTGTCGTTGTCCGCAAGTAGTATTTTGTGCACTCAACAACCGGAGTGCACATAAACAATACTGAAGCTATGTGGTCGAGGCTGAAAGAGTTTTTGAGACTTTGTCATGGCTCCAGAGGCCGACTATTCTATAGCCATATGGATGGTTTCCTCTACTGCATGCATTACGATTTTAGAACCTTTGAACCTCTTTCTAACCTTGACAAGTTTTTGAAACATGTATAAGAAGTGTATCCACTTTATTTCCTTGGTTTTGTATAATATATTTTTACTCTATGCCTACCGTTTGCTGATTGGCTAATATTTCTCAAGGTTACTTAAGATTCGTTCAAAGGTCGTCCATAAATTAGAGTCTCGCCAAACAATCTCTTGTCCAACAGTTTGTCCTAACATTACACTGAGAAAGTTACTAAGCTATTAATTCAATAATTTAGCTGAATAACCAGGCTAAAAAACATTTTACGAAAGGACTCCTTAGTTTCTATTAAATAATTAATTGATTATCCTCACCTTAGTCTTTGTTCATTACACAATAACTCTATAACATGAGAAGATTGTGGAATCAATGGACTTGTACATGAGGTCTATGATATTTATGCTATATATATATATATATATATATATATATATATATATATATATATATATATGTAAATCATGTATTCATGATTGAAATCAGCTATGACCTGAGTGAAATTCAAGTGTTATATAACAGATTTTTATTTGACATTAATCAAATAATTAAAGGTGTTTTATTTCTTATTCAATCTCTTTAAAGAAATTTGCCGAGTTTTACGTCATGTCCCAAATATTTCAACTCTCAATTTAACATCATGTAATTTGTCAAAGGATGGAATCTCTGCATTGACTGTACTTATCAATGTAAGTAAATAAATGTTCAGTAATTTTCAAAAATTTTTTCGGTTGAATGATTGATTAAATTGTTTTCAAACTATATATACTACTGCAAACTAATATGAGTAGTTTAAAAATATTCACATAATTTAACTGAGCTTTTTACATGAATCATTTTCATCCGTGTGTTTTAATGCATCCTTGTATTGAAGAGTTTAAAGAATCGGTTGAGACGAAAACATTTTTGTGAGTAGCCCATTAAAAATTGAACATCAGATTAGATAAATTTTGATTTCTTTCATAAAATACAAATATTTGGAAAGATAATCAAAGTTTAACTTGTTACAGGGCATTACTAGTTAAATAGTTGTAGTGTCGGTTACTATATTGAGCCCACATAGCTTATTCTATATTCCGGACAGGCCACTTCTATTCATTCTTCTTAAAATCACACATTCTGACCTTTTTAATTATTCACTTATCAACCCTGACGGTTTTTATATTAATTTATGTGTGTGTACACTTCGTATCTGTAACCTATTTTTATCTGGCTATAAATATTGATTAACGCTTGATTAAACGGAGTTGGCTCACACACACCTTTCCCACTACTCGTCATTTCTCTTCACTCTCTTGTATTTGCTTTATCTCTCTCATTTCCTGTCCAGATCAGTGAGTGTACGAAATACACATATCCAAAAATCCATTCTCGTATTCCAATTATTTAATTCCGTTATTCACCTACGCTATTTAAGCTGATGATTATATACGAGGATAACCGACATATATATTTCAATTACAATCCAATCTGGAGTCAGATAAAGGGTCACCAAATAGTTACCGGAAAATAATATTCATTAAATACATTGTCAGATATTATAACTAAACATGAATAGATGTATTACTCATTGTACAGATAAATAATTGCTACCTATCTTAATGAACGCAGAATTCTGTGTAGGTAATTATAAATATTGCTTGTATGGATAACGAAGAGTACATTGTCTTAGTAACTATTTATTTACATATATGTGTTTGAGCTTGGATACCTCTTGGACACTTAAGCCAAAATGGGTAACTTTCTTGTGGGGCTAATTTTCAAGTCTTTAGTTTGGAATTCCAATCCGCAAAATAACGAAATAACGTCGATAGATGCAGTACCATGATCACTGGTGACGAACTTAGGTTCATACTTCTTTCACTTCTTTAGGATACTGAAGTCCATCAACACCAACTGTTTCAGTTTAAAAAAATTTAACTCCTTTTAGTAGGTGGATCGTCGGTATCCACCAATCCGTATTAAGCATCATATATTGTCTTTCCATTCTATTATTTTCGTAAAAACAAACCAAACCATTTTGATAATAGTCAGCTAGACTTTTTGACAGATGCTATCGATTAGTGGCTGTATGTGAAATATGCAGAGGCAGGACAAAATCTCTTCAACCTCGATTGTAACTTAGCATTTGTGTGCAACATTCGAAAAATTTCAAATACTTCTACATTTAATATCAATCCACTGTGATTAACTCGTTTTAAATCTGTTTATCTACTCTATGACATCACTCGATTGACAACATCCGCCATTGTTGTTGTGTTACCGAAATGTGATTATTTAAAACAAAAACAAGACTTTAGTTGTTAATAACTACACTACTTATAGATTTATTCAAATATGAAATAAGTAATATAGAAGTTACACTTGTTAAAATAAAATACTGACTGCTTATAACAAATATAGAATACTGTATATGTAATTCTAGATGATTGAGCAATATTTTTAACCGGTTATATATATCTGTTCGTACAGAAAGTTAAATCAAATCTTGATTAATAGTATGCACTTTTCAGCATTTCTCACTTCTTACTAAGCCTATGTTTGATTGACCCAGTGTATTAGAACATCTATTTTCTCAGGAATGAACTGATGACAAATGTTTTATTTTATTTATTTATTTAAACACATAAATATTGGTACAAGGAGGCATCAAATAGATATGCGCGACATAAATTACTCGATTTGTGTAAGGGCTAGGATACTACCCGGGTGCCTAAACCGAAGCAGGTGGTTTTCTTAGGGGGTCATACCTGGAGCCTTCGACTTAAAGGTTTGATCCACAATACAGTGGACCAACCTCAAGAGATACAGTCCCATATTAGCCATTAACTAACAATAGGTTCATACTCCATTTGTTCCTTCAAGGTACTGGAGCCCATGTGCACCATAGGTTTGGAATCACGGTTTTCCAACCCTCCTAGGCGGACTCTTCGTGTTCACCAACCCGGTTAAAGCGAAATATTAGCCAATCAGGCAATAGTTAGAATAGAGTAAAAATATATTATAGAATACCAAAAAAATAAAGTGGATACACATCTTGTACACGGTTCAAAAACTTGTCAAGGTTAGAAAGAGGTTCAGGGGTTCTAAAATCTTAATGCATGCAGTAGAGAAAATCATCTATATGGCTACAGAATAGTCGGCCTCTGGAGCCATGATAAGGTCGCAAAAACTCTTTCAGCCTTGACCACATAGCTTCAATACTGTTTGTGTGTACTCCGGTTGTTGGGTCCACAAAATGCCGCTTATGGATAACGACACCATGCACATAAACAAATATAGGCATCTGTACATTCTCCAATCATCTGTATATATTATAGTACCTGGCTGTAGCCAGTGTTACTCGTGCTTTTTTTATCTAGTCATTGTTTGCCATAGTCTCAATCTGGATCGAGCAAAAAAGTTCTATTCTAGCATACTTGTTCCTTCAACGCGTATTATATCGAAAGATAACATCATTATGGTAGTCTCCACAAGGTCCACAAGTCATTTGATTACCAAAATAACAAATAAAGGAACTTTTTAGTAGTCCCATTTGTTGTAGCCGCTCAATCATTATGTTTTCTCTAAAATCCACTGTGAACCGATCGTACGTGACTCTGAGGTACTGAAATTGGCGACGTGACCTTGAAACCCCCCAAACGCTTCTGATTGGCTCGTTAATAAATTATAGTCTCTTCATGAAAATGTTATATAATAGTTACTATTTAGTATCCTGTTTATTTGTTTTCTCTCGATTCTTCCAAGTGTCTATTGTCAGAAAATTTTCTGGCTACCTATTGATTTATGAAAATTTTAATAATCCAATTTCATCATTTTATAATTTAGTAATTTTTAATCAATAGTTACTATCAGTCATTAAGTACAAACTCTTCCTTGTTGTATAAATAAGGCTTCGTAAGTATCATTAGCAAGATTCAACTTGATAATGTTAAATAAACTGAGTATTAGACAGATTCTAGATAATAATGATAATAATAATGTTGGACATGCAATTTTCTATTCGTTGGTATACTACAAACATATTATTAGTTAATTGTGTAATAATAATGCCTTCTAAGTTAATTTCATTAAAAAAAAGCAGTTTTAATCAAAGATGTCTTCAAATCATCATTTATACTGAATAGTATTGCGTAGAATTGACTAATTGGTTGATGGTGGATATTGGCTAGTAGTAGAATCTGAGAAGCTCTTTTCGTTCTATTTGAGACTCGTCAACTGGATGTACCTGCATCTCAGTTGGTGTTCACTCTGGGACTCAAACCCTGTATCGTTCACTTGAAACGCCATCGCGTTATCCACCTAACTATCCATTTTTGTTAATAATGATTGTGAGTTAAGGCAATATCGAGGCAATACACATAGTATGCACATATAGCAATAAGAGACTGATCAATCGCATTCCTAAACATCAATGGGAATATTCAAGTAAACAATACCAAGTGAATTTTATTTCATCAACTTAATTGTGCTTTAAACATGTGTTATATGTATCAAACCACTAGTTCGTGTGATACGCTATAGTGATTACCATAGATGTAGAATAAGAAAACGGTTAAGCAGCAGCCAGGTCAGGAGATATTCTCAGTTCATGATATCATTGACCATTATTTTGAACTATAATATAGAGATGTTATGGACACATTAGTTGTACTTTTCGACTGATGTATAGTATCGGAGATAATAATTGATATGAATGGAAATCTGTCCTAACGCCTCACTCGTATTCATCTTTCATCTTCTACACTTCTCCTGCAGTTTTTATTCTATTCATTTGTCTTGTATCACATTTTTAGTATCTAGTTTTTAGTAACACTGGCTTTTATTGGTTATAGGCGATATTCGTCACGAATTGAACGCATTAATAGTACTATCTGAACCACGGAAGCACTAGGCTGTTATTTCAGTCTAATGTGAGACTCCTCAGTAATACGCATCTACAACCCGACAATGAATCTAGGGGAGGACAGTCAGATCCCATGATAATTGCTCGACTGTTAGATACACTAGGTCAATGATATCGCAGACGTAATCAGTCAGTGATGAATAATGCCTCCACCTTGACTCCATCTTGCTGTTATTAAATAACTCAACTTGAACTGACATACATTCCTATCAAGTTGTAATTTGTCAATAAATTACGATAGCCCGATGGTCAAGAAACATAGCCAAAAGTTTGCAGAACTTATAACTTTTATAGTATAAGGTTGTAGAGATTGTTGATTTTTAATTGAGATCATGAGCCAACCAATGTTAGATCACCATTGACAACCTGGAAGCAGTGAACGGCCGTTTCGCCCGAGTATGGGACTCATCAACAGTGCGCATCCACGATCCTTCACGCTGGTTTCGAAACTAGGACCTTTAATCTTGCACGCGAACGCTTATTCTCTAGACCACTGACCCGGCATCCAACAGTGTTAATCTCTAATTTCAACCAATCCGCGATATTGCGTGACCATCTTCTATTGTCTTCAGTGGGTAATTACCTCACACTCGACATGGATCATTATTATTATTGGCCAGCTACTATTCACTACCCATGAATTGATACACCTAGTCAATGAATATCAACTTGCACAAAAATTAAGTCAAATGTTTTCAGTTGACCATCTCCAATTATCTAATGTCTCAACACAATTCATACAATATCAGGTTACTTAAAACACATTACGACTAGATCGATAAA